AGGTGGAAAATTCTTCACTCCAGGGCAAGTGTGGGAAATCGAGCCCGAGTTCTTGATAGGGTATGCTTTGGGAGCATGTCGTGGACCATTGGCGCTATACATACAACAGTGGCAGGGCTGAAGATGATCAACCAGCTCCACATGGAATTCTTGGTGAGCGTGCTGGGAGGGTCGGAGTCGTTCGTGGACTACAGGCAAAGGGTGCTTAGAGGGGCCACGATCATGCTACACATGTTGGGAAAAGAACGGTGGAATTCCATCGCGGTGAGGCTCAGTTGGCGATATATTGGCCACAGGGCGAGCAATCGCCAGCACGAGGGCCCAGGATGTGCAGGAACAACAAGGGTTAAGCGTGGGAGCCCGGCAGACGCCGCTACCCAAGAGTCATGACGAACCAAAGAGAAACCCAGGACAACGTGGAGGGGAGGGACTAGCAGACCGTGCCTTCTCGCTGCAGCTGTTGACTCGACAAGCGCTGATTTAACTGCAAGTCGCTTCCTTGTGTAGCTGCGCACCTTTGTCATGATGTTTTCACACATGTTTTGACTGCCAGCGTCGCTTTAGTGCTATCTGGCAAAGAGCTGTTCGAACAAGAATGGCTGATCAATTCGGAGACAGCAAAGGATGAAAGTGATGTGGAGAGCCCCAACTCCAATGTACAGAACCTTCCCCTGACCCATGTGCTCGCAGCGACTCGCAGCATGGCGAAGCCCGCGAAGGATCTGAAGACGGAAAGGAAGCAGAACGGGGTGTCAGGAAAACGAACGGTGGTCGGAGATGTGGGCGTGGGAAGTGCCTGCAACCATGAGGATCGGCGGACAATCTGCGTCACTGACGAGGGTGCCTCAACATCGACAACGTGAAGGAGGCCTGGCCCTAGCCCCTGACAGCGATTCTGCGCGTGTCAAAGGTGACGAAACAGATGTATATCCTCATGACCCGAGACCTTCTCAGAACCCAGATGAACGAGCACTGAAACACAATGTGGTGCCGGAGGACCGTGATGGCAAAGAAAAGAACATGACAGGAATGACCTGTGGTGCCACCGCAACACTGACGATTTGCGGACGGTCCACGACATCCAGGGTGGTGCCTCAACGTCAAAAGGGAGGAGGACAGGAGGCCCGTCTTTTTCAACCGATTCGGCGCTAGAAGAAGGTGACGGAAGGGTTTGACGTCGTCAAGAAGCAAGGCGAAAGATGTGGTGATGAAAAAGCTATGCTCAGCCGGAGTTGGAAGAGGTGTGGCTTATGGAAGAGTGGAACCGACCCTGGAGACAGAACACAAGACGTGACTGAAGGGATGGTGGGCGACGTGAGGGGGACAGAGACTGGTCCAGCTATGACCGCAGGGAAGATGGACTGAGCACGTGGCCGAACCCCAGATCAGAACACGCAAGAAGAACATGAGCTACGGAAACGAGAACCCTGCGTGCAAGGAGCAGAAGCAGGCATGTGCCCGGGGAGACTCCAAGGGAAGGACGCAGGGAAGAACCTGTGACCAGAATCGGCGCCAGAAGCCCCAGAAAAGATAGAGGAGCTGAACCGGCGTCGAGCTCGACACTTAATACGGAGGGCACGATGACATCTGCAGAGCGACCAACAGCGCCAAGGAGGCCTAGATTGATGGAAAATCCTCCTCCAGAGAATCGGTGCTCCTTTGGGGTGAAATTTTATGTCTTGGAGGTGAAGCAGCTGAGGGTGATCATCTGCCCGGGTTGTGGCAGACGGCAGAGTACGCGTTGCACCACCTGCCGTCGAAACGAGGATCAGGCAAGTGATGAGAAGGATGACACCAGCGGGAATGATGCGCGTGGTCTCCGGTCTTCAAGCGTATTTGTCCGTGCTAGGCATGGAGCCTGTGATCGCAGTCAATGATGGTCCAACGAGCACTCACAAAATGGTGAAAGAGGCTTCGGGCCAGATGACACTACGGTCCTCATGCAAGCAGGGCGACCCAGGGAACACAAAGATGATGACGACCAGCCACCACCTAAAGGGCCTAGAGGACCAAGCGGTATCCGCAGAAGGAGGACGCTGGTAAGGAGACGTAGAAGCATCGTGGCCTACTATCATGAAGTCTCCATGAGTTCGGCTACTACGAGGGACGCGCCGCAATGGGGACCAGGAGCAGCAGCGTCCTGTCAACGAGTGTTCATGAGACGCCTGAAGAAGGACATGTAGGAGTGCCCGGGAGAGAACACCTACAACAATGCGTCTTTGCGAGAGGGCCTATGGGCGCAGTTGCGACGATAGCCGGGATGCTGAGAATGCTGGGGGCTATCATCATGAACATAGGTGTGTTAGTTGAGACCTACCTGGTAGAAAATCAGTTGTTTGACGAAGCGGTTGGAGTCCCAGTGGAAATGGGTCCACATGGAGTTCCAGTACACTTTCAGCCGGTGGAACCAATGCAAATGCCATTACCAAGAAGAGAAGTGAACCAAGCAGCAAGTGTGGAAGACGACCAACAGGAAGGACCGTGAAGAGGAGGATACCCATCGGGGCGAGAGCAGCCTGATGCAGAACGGACTGCAGTTTGGGGACATCGCAGAGGATGAAATAAAGGCACTTGCTGAGGACCTGAGAATAAAGCTGGAGAGGGTGAGGGCCAAAAACAAAGGGAAAGGCACTTGCTCTTCATCGTAAAGGCGATGGTTACCAGAAATACAAGAAGTCTGCTGCCGGCAATGCGGCAAGTCTGTCAAGGGCTTCGAGAAGTATTGAACGGGTGAGCTCGAGACATGTGTCAGATTGAAAGGGTGGAGGACAAGACACATGCGCAGTTGGCCAAACAGTTCTGGAAGCGAGTGAGAAGCAAATGTCGCAATGCTGTGGCTAAACGAAGGAGGCAACAAAGAGAGGAGGAAAAAGGAATGAGCCGTATGATGTCGCCAATGATCCTCAGCAGGGCGAGTGTGATGATAAAGAAGCAGGTCGAGACGCGGGAGCACAGCAAGTGGCAAGGGATGCAAGAAGAAAGCAATGGGGACATTAGCCTAGTCCAAACAGAGATGTGGCTGGAAGCGCTGCAAGAGGACCTGGAGTATCGGAGGGTTGGTGGAGAGATGGTGGGCGCGCGTGCGAACCAACTAATGTGCTACCTCATGGAGATGCAGCCAGGGCGGACTCCGAAGCTTGGCAGGCGGTTGAGGCTCTGCTCGCCAGGTACGTAAGCGAGGAGACTGACGAAAGAAGAGGAGAAGTAGCAGATGCATTTGTCAGCTGTTGGAGTCGGAGATTGAGGGTCTTGCTGATGGGTGATGGAAATGTGGTGGAGGACACGCAGGACGATGCACAAGGGGAAGAAATGGAAGCGGTCCTGCGTGAAGTCAACAGGGGCAAAAAGTACCGGATTGAGAAAAGAAAAGCTAAGATGGCCCAAAGGGATGATGACGAGGCCATGCGACAGGCCCTTGGATCGGGGACTACAAGTGCCAGTAGTGCGAGTACGAAAGGGTTCCAGCCTGGTGGCCGCACGATCGCAACATAAAGCGGTGAAGCTATGCAGAGTTCTCCTTAAGGGGTGCAGGTCAACAGTGGCGGAGAAGCTCACGTATGTGGAGGACAATTTGAAGTGGCCATCCAGATGCAAGTGATGAACATGGAGACGGAGGGGTTGAGCGCTGGTCATGGCGAGAGTGGAGGGAGAGGGTTGAAGACACTTGATGAATGAAAGAGACATGACAAAGCACAGCAGGGTCAAGCTGGGGTGAAGGAGGAACAAGGCGATCAGGGCAAGAAGGGCATGGAGGGTCACATGGGCGAGTCCAACCAGCAGGAGCACAACTGAGGGGCACAGCTCGTATATGCAAATATGGTTACAATCCTAAGGGTTGATGCCGGCAGCGTTTCCTGACCAAATTGGTGGTAAGAACCCCGTGTCGTTCAGGCAGACGTTAAAAGTCCGAGGGGTTGTAAAAACCCTAAATCCAAAACCTTTCAACCCTAAACCTTAAATCCAAAACCCCCAAACCCCGAAACCCTAAATCCAAAACCCCTCAACCCTAAACCCTAAATCCAAAGCCCCAACCCTAAATCCTAAATCCCTAAACCCTAAATCCAAAACCCCTCAACCCTAAACCCAAAATCCAAAAACCCCTAAACCCTAAACCCCAAATCCAAAACCCCTTAACCCTAAATCCAAAACCTCCAAACCCCTAAACCCAAAATCCAAAATCCCTAAACCCTAAACCCTAAATCCAAAACCCCTACGCCCTAAGCCCTAAATCCAAAATCCCTACACCCTAAATCCACAACCCAATACCCAAAACCTCTACACCCTAGGCCCAAGACCCTTCCGGCGGTCCCAGAATCCTGAATTGGGCAAGTGACCCGCGTTTTTGTTGGCTAAGTGACCCGAAACGGTGCGGGATCCGAATTGGCTAAGTGACCCGCGTTTTTGTTGGCTAAGTGACCCGAACCGGTCCGGGATCCGAATTGGCTAAGTGACCCGCGTTTTTGTTGGCTAAGTGACCATTGACCCGCTCTTACCTGGTCGTGGTACGACATTATCATGCTTGGCGGTGGCGTAGCTGTTCCTTCCTCCTTTTGTACTCAAGTGCTGAAGACCCGACCACATTCCGTTGGCCACGGCTTGTCTCTTAAGTCAAGGCCTCCTCAGCCCACTACGGAGGGGTAGAAGCCAGCTTCGTAGCTAAAAAAGGTAAGAATAGGCTCAATATCCAGAGCGGTTCCAAACCCATCACATCATCCTCACCATCATCATCATCATCCTCATCATCAACTCGCTATTGTAGCTTCCAGGAATGACCCCCAAAACTTTTGAAGATGTAAGACTTTTCTGCCAGTTGCTTGCGCCTCCATTTGGTAATGGGTAAAAAGTTATTCAACAAATTATCCAATCCAGATTTAAGTCAGACACACTAATGGCTCGCCACTTTAGACTCAAAGGGGACTCGGGTCTGCAGTGCATTGAATCCCAGAAGCCGTACTCTGAGCGTGATGGGCTTGGAGCTCCCTGGATGCACGCCTAGGCCAATGCAGTTTGAGAAAATCGATCTGCGAGGTTCCGGCAAGCGGCAAAAGTCATTGAAAGAAGCTTGGCACGGCTCTGTTTGGAACGTGACAGGCAATCACAAGCCGGGACCAGGACGGGAAGGAGCGGAGCTGGGCAATTGATGTCATGCCACCATGCCTCGCTCCACTGGGCTTAGTTGCTTTGCAGCTGAAGCCATCTTTGCCAGATGCACAGGCATGGGATTGAGAGCCTCGACTGCAGTAAGCAGTCTAGTGGCGGCGAGCTGTACATGCAAAACATTTTGAGATGTTTCTGCTTTGCAGCTTACATGCGTGCAAATTTTACCCGCAGATTCCCTTCGCTGCACACAGTGGGTGTCCAACTTCCGTGCTTTCCATCTCACACACTGCTGACTGACAACTGCCACCTTTTCTCTGCTTTCAGGCGAGCATGCCATTGAATCCCTCGTTTTGTCGGCCCGCCTCTCGGGCCTAGCCGGTGAAGGTTCAATCCTGGTCGACGTTGAGCCAGACGAGTCCTGCTTCCGAATTTCTCAATGGCCTCAGGTTGAGAACATCACCCACCTTGACCTACGGGGCAACCGGCTTAACGCCGCATTTGGCTGGAAGCTGATCAAGGACTGTGTTTACTTTCAAAGTTCTTCTCTTGTAGCGGCATGTGTCTGGCAATCCTTTGAACCCTTATTCCTCCTGTTTCATGTTGCGTAGCCCCACGCCAGGCAATGAAGAAAAAGTATTTAAACCTGGAGTTCTGCCTGGGCCCCTGTTCAGGAGTTCAGGCGTGAAGAAGGTCACATGCTGCTGTGTTGTGCTGAAACTGAGGCAATGGAATTCCATTGAGGGCACTGCGTATGAATTCTATACAGGTCCTGGATTTGTCTCAATCTCAGCTTCCCAGGGGCCTGCCCCTGCCAAAGCATGTCCCAGTAGATCAGCCGAGAGATAGCCAGGCACTTCGTTCAACTTGTTCAGGTCACCTTGTGCAAGCCATGTTGGAATGCGGCGGCCTGAACCCAACTGCGCATCCCAGTTTCATGGGCAGATATTCGCTAAGTGTCTGCACTAGGATAGACAATTTCCTTCATTTGGTTCACAAATTTGTCATGTTGGAATTGCGACACTGGCCTCTGCAAAAGAGGCCATGGGCAGAAGACTCCAAAGAGGCTGCCGTAGAGTTTGCCAACAGGGGAATGCCGATCTGGCTGTGTTTGCAGGGATGGACCGGCGTCGAGAAATCACCTGAATCAATTGCTGATGGCTAGGTATGGCATCGAAGTTGTCGGTGCGATTTTTTTGGCGCACTTCCTGCGTCTCAACACTTCTCTGATCAGCTTCAACTTCAGGCTGGACGTAGGCGGTAAAATGCATGTCAACAGCACCCGCAGCAGGTTGAATCATGTGGAGAAGGACGGTGCCAAGGCTGCTATTCAGCGAACTTTGCATGCTACCTTGACACTTGTGCCTTCCTTATCAAACGCCAGGCGCTTGCCCAGAGCTTGCTTGGCAATGCACAGACTCTTCTGCAGACTGCGACTTGGCCGAAACATGAGCACTGTGTGGAGAAAGCGGCCGATACGATGATGGAGGTCAATACCATGGGTCCGACCAAGATGAAGACGGCGCCTCACATCGCCTCACTTGTCCAGTCTGGCTGGTGTGGCCACAGCCGAGGCCCGGAATCAACTTCTCCCACTTCAAGACCAGCCAACTGCGCCTTGGGCAGCGGAAGCCAGCATGTGGCAAAGCATCGCCACCCGGCGGATCCAAGGACCACGGTGGATCTCTCCAAGCGAGGCATGGACGACGATGACTTTGTTTTTTTGGAGGCTTGGGGGGGTTCGCTGAACTCTGCAAGCGTGGAATCGCAACTTCTGGGGGACAGGAGTGGCTCCGGCGATATGATTGCGCCAACTATTCAGCTTACATAAGCTTCGCAGAAGTGCAATGATCTACATGCTGTACAGAGCGACCAAGTATCGTGTTCCTGCCAAGGTCACTGAGCTGAACATCTCATGGAATTTCATGTCCCGAGATGGCATCCGCAAGCTGACGCGACACATCAAGGAGAACGGGCAATGCATCATGAAGCAAAATGCCTCAAGATTGCTGATGATGGATCCTGGCTGTGGCATGTGCTAGCTATGTGATTGAGAAACTTATTGCCCCCTGGTGTTCCCCATTAACGCTGCAGCTTGGGCACTGAAGATGGTACTGCCATGTTAACGATGCTCTAGCAAGTGCAAAATATCTGAGAATAAGTGTCCTGTCACCCGCTTCACCCACCCTCGAGGCGGCACCCTTGCATTGTGCACTGGCTGCAGGAGACAAAGGTCTTGACCAAGCTGAACTGTGAGCGGCCAAGACACACAATCTTTAGCATGGTTTGAGCGGGCTAGGCTGACCTGTAAGGTGTTGGCTTGCCTGTCACTTTGGAGGTGCGGCTGCATACTTACATGTATGATGCTATGATCGTGTGAGCCGACATGAGCTGCTTTGGAGCGGCAAGACAGCGCAGGGATCTGCGCTTCTTGCCCGCGCCGTGATCGAAAATCATACGCTGGTCCAAGTCGCGCATGGCCCTGAGGGTGGGTCATGATGCATGTTTCATTTGGACCAACTTGGTATATTGTATATCTTCATATCTTCATTGAGATTGGGAAATGAAGGGCATGATGCATCCTGTGCTAGCGGCAGTACAAGAGCCACTAGACTGGAGCTGCAAAGGGAATGCGATGGGTGCACACATAAGATCTTCAGAAGAATCCAGCACACGGCCACTTTCTTTCCTCAAAAAGCTCTGCCTTTTTAAGCAAGTCAGAAGTAGTCCCCTTAATTCCCTGTAGCTCTTATTGCTGAGGTTGCCCCTCGGACACTGCCATGACACTCCGGAGCGTCAGCAGGCTGGTTGTGTGCCCGATGTGACAAGCAAGAAGATTGTAGCAAGGGCCTCTTGCAGTCACTTGCCAGATGCTTCAACAGCTTGGAATTGGATTGGCGAGCCACCCGTCTTTGCAGAGCTTTGCTTGCACCCGCACTCCAAATTTGGAGTATGCCTGGGCCTTTGATGATCGTCAAACGGAGTTTGATGCGCAGTCTCCAAACGTGCTTCATGCGCATGTCAAGCAAGTACCCAATGCTGATGAGATTTCAGGGGTGTCTCATCGTTAGCAATGAAAGTCACATGACTAGCACCCCACAAGGCTTCCCTGCAAGATGCCAAAGAGAACAAGGCAGGGAGACTGTTGCACCAGCGCGCAGAGTAAGATGTAAAGTTGCAAAAGTGCTCAGGTGCGAGCATTCCCTCCGGAACGGAGCAGTGGATGGCCTCGTACGCAGGTAGTGAGATTTCTGGTTTCATTTCATTCCTGCAAACTTACAACTCGGCCTTGCAGATGGCGGTCTACATGTGGCTTCTATCCGCCAGCAAAGCAGAGTTGGAGAGGCCAGCTCTCTGGTGCCAGTATTTATGAGCAGTTGTAGCTTTGTCATTGAAGTCGTGGAAGGGGTTGGGGCAAGACATGGACTGCTTGAATCCAATATTCCGAAGCATGGGTGTAGCCATCTAAACAACGATGCATCCTGGGAACGGTGTCTGTTGCTTCTGGATGAAAGAGCCTGCGTGCGTCATGCAGCAGAAGCTCGGTGTGTCGTGCTCGACAGGTTTGCGTTGGGACCAGGTGCGAAGCCCAAGGTGGAGTATCCGAAGGAAGCCTGCCAAGGCAACTGCATGCCTAGAAAGTTGGTGACGTGGTTCGTATTTTGGTTCAGGTGCAAACCCAGACTTACTACCTGCAAGCCTTGGTGTCCTACACAGTGCTGGGCACATGCTTCGTCAGGCCCTACTGGGGCTTGCAACTCACCATTCCAATATATTCCAACGTTAAATTTGCTGGAGGTATCGATTGCTTTACCTTTGGGCTACGGCCTTCGGTCAATGGAGCTCCTTCGCGTGCGCAGCTTCTTTCGTGCAGTTTCCTTTTCTGATACTTCTTGAGTGCTACTGCCCGGATGCAGCAGGTCCTGACAGTCTGCACGTCCCTGGCAAACTTAAAGATCCTGGGCTTCGCGTCAGCAAGATGCTCAGCAATTTCAGCTGTCACCACACTTGACTTGCATGTTTGTGCGTGGCTGCTTGGTTTGAAAAGCTGTTGGCGCAAATGTGTGAGGCTGTGTTAAAGGATTCCCAACTGCCTCCTGAGTGGACCTCGATTGGCAGCGCGCTGATGGCTCAGTAGATTTCGTGCCGATGCTGATTTTCTGGGACAAGTCCAAAGGCGGACCAAGATGCAACGAAGCCAAACCGACAGTTGCGGTGTCAGTTGGAGCAAGGCCTCGCTGGCTCTTTGAGGATAGACTGCGAAAGAGGACGTCTTCCAAGCGCTCAGTGCATCGCAAACCTGTTCAGCATGTTGAAGGACCCATTGGCAAGCTCTTCACGGTCTCCTGATGGCGGGCTGATCTGTTGCCTGTGGCAGTCCTCACAGCTCAGGGTGTGCCTCTGACTGTCAGACAGTCTGCGTCGAAGGCTCTGCCTCACCTGGAGCAGTTCAACGATCTTGCACTGGGTGGACCAAGCATGAGAGAGTCGTCATGCCTGGCAAGTTTCTGAAGAGGCAACCTTGTCAACAGGAGATGGGTGACCTAGGCTGTTGCTGCAGCACTGTTGCAAAAATTCTGCATGCCAGGCCAGAACTCACCTGCCTCTTGCTGATGCAATGCTTGGAAGGCAAGATGTGGCAAGCTTTCAGCAGGACTCATAGTCTCTTGATAGAAGACAGGAGTGGCCACCGAATTAACTGACGCTGGTGGAAGCGGAGAGGCTTTGTGATGCTCCCAGCAGCGGACTGGCATTCCAGTGACATTGTGACGTCCAGTTTCGGAAGAGTTGGCGGACAGCTAGGCTGAAAGCAAGTCTTCAAGCTGAAGCTGACGTTGATGCATTTTGTGATGTTCTGCGAATCCTCAGACAGGACCTGAGAATGTTAGCCAAGTGCTCCGATATGCTGTTGGCTTGGCTTGCGCAAGGTCGAACTCCACTGCTTATCGATCTGAACTTCTCGGACAGACGTACAGAGACGGTTGCAGCCTCGAGTCTGTTTGCGTTCACGCTGAGCGCAATCGAGCCGTTTGGATAGAAGTGAAACGGGATATCTCCTGGCTCAAGATCGTGTTTTCTCGAAGAAAGCGTAGACTTCGGAGCTAGGAGAATGGAGATACCTGTGGCGGGCTCAATGCCAACTGTGAAGGTGGCTTCAGAGGCATTGGCCTGCGAGGGGACAAAGACCTAACAATTGAGTTCGCTCGGTTTTGCCCGTGCACAAAGGCGTGGCAAGTGAAGGCTTTCATTCCAGCTTGCATTGGGTTTGCGGAGGTTGCATTTGGCAATTGCTGCGTAGCCTTTGGAACACACAGTGCCTGTACTTGTGGCGGGGGTGGGCGGCAGCGCAGGTAGTGTGGAAGCGTGCACGCAGCGTGCAGTTTATCAGGGCCCGCACGTGCGTGTGTGCGCCTCCTGCCTAGCCCACCACTGGTGGCGCTCTGCAAATACCCCTGAAACTGATCGCATAATCGGGCTCCCATTTCGCTGCTTATTCTCAGGTCTAGTTAAGCTATGTAGCAGTCTCTAGTGAGTGTGATAGACGTGCATCATATCTGACAGGGGGCTATGCTAGACCGCAGATAGACTCTTACCGCTGCCGCTACCATCCTGAGATAGATCCCAGTGCATGGGCACCTACCATAGGTTGGGATAGACCTCTGTCATAGGCCCCCTCACTATCTGAAGAGGCCCATATCTGGCGCCTAGACCCAAATCCAACTTTTCCCCCCCCGCCCCACGCTTATCCGGCACACAGAGCTCTGTAAAAAACGCATGGGCTGCATGGTGTTTATCCGGACACGCCCTGATCCCAAGACAAACTTATTTAAGCAACCGAGACAGCACAACACGCAAACTCCAAACCTTCAGGTGGCTGGAGGAGCCTGAGAAGATTCTGCTGCCAGTTCAGTTTTTCAGTTCATGTAGTAATGCCCGCCGGAGGCCGCCAGAACAAGCCCAAGCCCAACTCTAAACAATCCCAGACTTCAGCCTTAAACAGCCAACCTATAGACAACCCTGAACCCTCAAGCTGGACAAATCAAGCCCCCAAAAGAACTTGAATGTAAACCTAAACAAGCCCAAGCCCCAAACCATAACGATCCAAACCACAAACCCAAACAGCCCGAATCTTAGATCCTGAGCAGCCCCAGGATAATCCGTCACATTCGAGCACTGAGAGGGGCACGTGATAACAGGAAATGGTCCCACAGAAGAAGCAACCCGAAGAAAAAACAAAAAAAGTATATACATACACATATATATATATATACATATATACAAACCCTTAGCAACCCCAATGCCTCAACCCGTAACAACCCCAAGCCCTTAACCATACAAGTCCCAGACTCTAAATCTTGCACAGCCACGAGCCCAAAACCTTCAAACCCTAAATGCCCTTTCGCTGCAGAAGGTGAAGTTGTTTTCCGTGCATGGCTTAGGAGCCACTTCCAGGATGAAGAAACTGTCCGGTTGTACCGCAAAGAGGTCCTCGAAACCTTTATCGTCCCATTGTGCAGGCGGAATACTGACGGCTGGGTTTGAGAAGGTTTTTCGGAGTTCGCTTGGGCCAATGGCTGGTTGCAGCTGGATCGGCAGGTGCGAAAGCGACACTTAAAAGAACCCAAAGCCCTGAGAAAAACCGAGGCGCAAACCTTGCAGAGTCCCAAGCCTTAAACCCTCAACAACCCGAAGCCCTACCGTTACAGAACGCAAAGCCCTAAGCAATAAACCCGAACCCCAAACCCTATACAGCTGTGGAGCTGATGACCCGACTCTGCCTCTAGGGGCATTCTGTGCTTCGGAAAAAGTCCGACAAAAAACAGATCCCAGACCCTCAGCCGTAAACAGTCCGAACTTAAACAAGCCGGACCCTCGCTCTAATCCTAAACAAGCCCAAACCCCACACCCTGAGGAACCAGGACGCAAAGCCGTACTAGCACTGAGTCCTCAGCTTGAAGCCGCTTGAAACGATGAACCCTAACTCCAAGCCTTATACACCCCAAGCTAGGAAACGCAGAAACGCGCAAGACATTGAACAGTCCAAAGCAAGAAACGGACCATCCGAAGCCCGAAGTCTTTGATCGAAAACAACACGTAGGCGTTAAACGCCAAAGCCCTAGATCCCCAACCCCAGAGCCCCGACGGCCCAACCACAGAGTATCCACATCAAAATTGGCATGGTGGAGCGTACAAATATTGGAGGTGGCCGCTGGAAAAAATCCACACCTACAAGATAACAGCAGCATTCCCGTGAACAAGCCCAACACATAAAGATATCAACATTGGAATGCGAGGTCTAGGTAATTACACGTTTGGGGATATCCACCTTGCACATTTGGGGTGTAGACCCGTATCCACTTTGGATAGGATCCCATCCCGCATAGGGGGTTGCCCAAGGTTGAGATAGACATTTTCTGCGGAAGCGCCTATTGGAATTCCTAAAAAACCTTCATATACCTTCATATATGGTTCATCTACAACACCAATAGGGGTCTACCTTACGTGCGTAAGGAGAGAGGATGCAAAACCATTCTCGGATTGGCTTAAACACTATCATAGTGACACGAACCGCCCCCAAAAAACCATCATTGAATCGTCGTGAGCTGCCAAAAGGAGCCAGTGAGAAAAACGCATGAAGACAGGATCGTGTCCGTGAGACCAGGTCCTGAACCCGGTAACGCTTGGCCAAGCGTGCGCGGGAAGCCTTCAAACCTGGAGGAGGGGAAGCGGACCCCGAATGATGCCGATAATTCTGGCCCGCTGCAGCTCATCAGCATCATTGGCGCTCCATTTCTCCAATTAAGGGCCTCCCCTCAAACGTGGAATGATGTTGGCCGGGGCCCAGAGGGGCTAGGTGAGCAGCTATAACGCAGCAGGGGTGCTCATAGTGCTGTTGGGGGGACGGGCCGGAGGCATACAATCTCATGTTGAAGAGCCCCGATGATGCTGATGATGTTGGCCAAGGGGGCCAGCATCATCAGCATGTTTAGGGGTTTGCTTCCTTTTCTCCAGGTTCCTAGGCTGCCCGTGCGCACTTTGCCAAGCATTATGGCTAGCCTCACAGGGGTTTCATGCCCTTTTTGAACGGTGCTTTTATGAACGGTGTCGTTTGATGTGAAAGTTTGGCGAGTTTGCGGCTTTATGATGGTCTTATGCAGTTTTATGTCGGTTTTACGGGGTTTGAATGGTGGTTTCAGGGTTTAAGGCTTTTGGTCAGTATTATGGTGCTAAAGCCAATGCGCGCATGGTGTTTGCGGGTACAGCGGTTGAACCGGCTTCAAAGGAATGACAGAAGACATTGGAATCATTGGAGCCCATTTATGAGCTCAGTTTCCGCGGTGTTTGCACCGCGCCACTGCCGAGAAAGGTGGGGGGAGGGGCAGGGGCGCATGCGCGCACCCCTCCCACCCCAAGGTACATTGCACGCTTCCACACTACCTGCACGGCCCACCCCTGGCCACAGCCTCTCTGAGCATGTCTTGAAGATTGAGCCATGAGCATGTATATAGAATTATACAGAAGTGAACGCAGGTGACAAGCTGCCATGCAAGATGTCCATGTCAGCTGCAATCCGGAAGTCGGCGCTTGGCTTCCCGACAGGCACCAGGCCAGTCAGTCGAAGTCATCGTAGCAGTCCCCATCAACTCCGGCTTTGTCTGAATGCTATTGTGAGTTCCGCTGCAAGCAGAGTGCACTTGCAGAAGAGTTGCAGCTTTGATATATATATATATGTATATAGATATACAACGGAATAGCACAACCTAAGTTCTGCCTTCGTCCCACTCAGTGCTGCACATCTCATGTGGCGCGGTGAAGAGGAATGCAAACTTGCTTGATCTCTACGAGAACGGTGTGGGGAGGATTGTAAAAATGCTGATGCTGTACCTTTTCCTGCTGAGCATCCGTCCTGCAATCAAAGCTCTTCCCCATCCTCGTATTGCTGTTGTCACTGCTGCTCTCGTCCAACTAATTGATGACACATCGTGGCACGCTGCGTGCCTCAATTTTGCGTTGCCCTAGCAGTTGCGCGGGGGATGACGGCAAGCATAGTCAGGAGAGTAAGTCAGCGTCCACTGTAGGTCTGGAACCTTTGGAAGCCAGGCCTAACCCTTTGCCTTGAAACAGATTGAGCGCTTCTGAAAAACTGAAACGAAGGCGGACCTGAAAAGTTTCCATTTATCCTTGGCTTCATAAGTAATGACTTAGTACAGCGGAGCCGCACTGGTCACAGCAATATTGCTCTCCAAGACTCAGCCGTGAGGCCTTAAAGTGGTGACCATAATCCACAAATCAGAACCTTGCCGGCAACCTGGGAGGGCCCACAGTCATGCAGATCCATTGAAATCCTCCAGTCCGCCCAGCTTGCAGTGCATGTTGCAAGGTGTGACCGTAAGTGGACAACATGGTTTGCATGTCGAGAGATGTGGACCTCTAGAGTCTAGAGCGCTGACGAGGTGCTGCTGTGGTTGCTGGTTTGGTGGCAAGTCTCTCTGCTTGGCGAGATCATCGCAAGAGATCATGCCACGGCAGTTTTCCACGAGCGCCCTCCAGGATGAATGCCTTGACAGAGCGTGACAGGTACAAGCTGGACGCTGGGGCAGAAATAGCACATTGTTCCGCATTAGTGATAGCCAGATGTGGGAGGGCTTGTATGTTGCATACAGATGGCCCTCAATTGAGGACAGCACTCCTGATGAGCTGTTCTATCTTTTGCCGCGTATTGGCGTGTATCACGTGGATGATGCATTCCGAGCACAGCTTACGCAGCTGTACCGCTTACTGATTCCTGCCAGCGGGCAAGTCTTAGACTTATGCTCTCAGCATGATTCACACTTGCCCAATGAGATTGACTATGAACTTACCGTGCACGGCATGAACCAGCTCGAGTTGCTTGCCAACGGCAGAGCGAAGGACCGATTCACCAGGAACTTCAATAGCGATCCAAGCTTACCAGAGCTGGCAGATGAATCCTTCGACGCCGTTCTTATGTCCGTCTCCATACAGTACATGCAGAATCCTGTGCAGATATTAGCCGAGGCGCGAAGAGTGTTGCGCCCAGGCGGGAAACTCATCGTGAGCTTCTCGAACCGAATGTTTTTCACGAAGGCGGTTGAAGCTTGGCGCTCGCAGAAGACAATGCGTGGCCTTGCTGACCTTGTGCTGGAATACTTTGTTGAGGCAGGCTTCAAGGATATCCGTATAGCAAACCGAGTGCGCGTGGCTGATGATGCAGATTGGTTCCGCTGGCGACTCAGAGGTTGTCGCATGTGCTGAGAGAAGATCTGGGTGCCGGTGTACCGGAGCACCGGATGTGACCCAGGTGACAAGGATCCTTTCATCGCGGTTATTGGGATGAAGGACCCAGGCTGATTGTCCTTGCACTTGATTTGTTCATGCCGGAGATCTGACTTCATGAGCAATGTCAGGCAGCGATCTCAGCCAGCTGGATGGGGTCTCCTGGCTCCAGTGACTGTGCTAAGGTAAGTGTTGAGTCCTTGGGAAGCTTGTAGCAGGCAGCCTCGCATCAGTCAATTTGCATTGCTTGTTTCTCAGTATCCAAAGGGCAGCAGTAGACCGGAGCCAGTCAATGGAATCACGCTTAATGCTTCCAATCTGCAAGGCTTCCCATTCTCAGTTTCACCTGCCAAAGCGCGGTCTCGGCTGAAATGGGCTCGTGACGGCGCAGCAGCGCATCTCTTTATGGCTGTTTTTACTTCAGAATTCCCAAAGCCTTCGCCAAGGTCAAAGCTCAGCAAGCTCGTTTGGGGCCACATCTTTCTGGACATGGTGAAGGCCTGAAACCGGCAACATCAGTCGACTTGCGGATGAACCTGGAAAGTCTGACTTTGGAAGGAGTGCCGCGTTTTACGCACTCAATCTCCCTGAGGCCACGCAAAAGTATGATTGATAACCCTTGCCTGCCTGCCCACCTTTAGTGACTTGAGTGCTGCAAGTGTCTTGTACTCCTTGCAGGAACAATGTCATCAGTGAAACCTTTCTGCAGGCAGGGAGCAGACGCTGCTATGGCGTGTTCCATTGTTGTTCGTTATTTGCTCTATCACGATGTACACGCATGCATTGTTGTCCGGTTCTGCAGGGCTTAGACTGCAATGCACCGCTGCGCGAGTTCTGCGCTCAGTCTTTCCGTGTGCATGCGCGCCGGAAGTCGTGTTGTAGGGACGTGACAATTCGAGCACACTATTCTGCTTCGTGGTCCAAGAAGTGGGCTGCAGCACTGGTTTGCCTTTCAAGTATTAATTTGACCTACCTGAGCTGCTACCCATGTTTTGGGTTAAGAGGCTTCAAATTCAGATTCACCGGTGGAACTGCAGCTGTGCTATGTCCTTGAGCAGCAGGACCCTTGCAAGACAGCAGCGGAGTCATTATATGGCCCATATCAGAAATGCTAAACCCAAATGCAAGCCGCAAACAGGCTTCGTGCTGGACATCTTGCATTTGCTACTGCATGGGTTCGCATGTGAGGTTTGGCTTCGAGAACATTTCAACTGTCCTCCCCTCCCTTTTTGCAGCAATGTGCGGCCTGGTGCTCGGAGACTTTGCATGAGCAGTCCCAAAGCCTGCAAGATGAAGGTTTGGGACAGCGCTGCTTGGGCAACCAACATGAGTGTTGGCTTCCTCCAGCAAATCGCTTGCCCTCCCCGGACAAGATTTCCAACCAGCAACGAGCAAGGAACCTCACATCACTTCTCCCTTGACTGCGGCCCCTCCATTTTCCATGCCGTATTAGGAGGGGTGCAGCAGAGGCTTATGCGGAAAATTCGTGCAGGGCTGGGGGGATTTTCTTGCAATGAAGTCCTCTGACATGTTCGCGCAGCTTTGTCAAGCCTTAGGCCGTGAGAAGCCTTTGCCAGTGGAGCGCATTCGAGTGGAACCCAAGTGCGCTGGCAAGTGTTGCCAATCAACGCGCCTGTTTTGTGTTAGTCGCTGCTTTCGCCAGGTGGGTGACGTCCAGGTTTGCGCGGAAGCGATTCAAAAAGCGCCAGCACAGTTGGCTGGATGGCATACAGGCTCTTCAAACAGGCTGACTTTACGCCTCTTTTCTTGTGCAAGTGCAGGCGGCAATGATCCGAAGCGACAGGTTCGTTGAGCTCATAAGTGCCACATCCTCTGTATTGTTTTTGATGCTGATTCGCATGCAGCAGGGTGATGGACAGCATTTGACAGCATTCGTCACACCAAAAACGATTGGTATGTATTGCAAAGATATTTGTGATATTCTGCGCAGTAGGCGGGTACCATAACATCCCCAAGCCAAGAGGCAAAGCTTAAGCCGAGCAAATCTCCTGAGCTTTCCCTGAACTGGCTTGGCTACAGATATGATCCGGAGTGTGGGAAGAACCATGGAAGAAGTTGAAGTGTTTTGTCTGCAGATGCCTGCACCATTTACGCGCTTGGCGAGGCTGGAACAGCCGTTTCGCGCGCCGAGATCGAAAGCATGTCGCCAAAGGACTTCGTTGATGTGACACCCTGAGTGTGGGACCGGCTAGCCATGGGTTGCTCGGGAAAAATTGCTGTCTGTAAGGCTCTGACAGGTGTGGCATTGGAAGAGCCGTTCCCCGTTGAGGCGGCTTTGCTGATGTTTAGTTTCTCCGCGGCCTCCTATGCATCGTCTGCTTCGATTGCAGGTTGAGAGATTCCACCCACCGCAAGTACAAGTTCTTTGCTTTCCGAGCAGAAGAGCTTACAAAGGTCCCAGCCTGAGACAGTATGCCTGGTAAAGTTGGGATTGTTCTACGCGCTAAGTGTAAATGCTGGGCATGGGGAGCTCTTGGGTTGGCCCGCAAGAGCCGGTGCCACGGCATCAGCATCTGCAGATTACAGGAGAGAGCCCTTAGCAGCGATGAACATAAGGCTTGTTTAAATTCAAATGGCCAGAAAATGTGCAGAAAGCTGGGTCACTCATTTGCAGGGTTCCGGGAAGTGACTGGACCACCATGACAGCCGAGATCCACCGGAAGATCCCAGCCAGAACTTGTACGTGCCCCTGCCAATGGATGATGAGGCATGCCAGGAAATTCCAGTCTGCTGCGCTGTTGTCCGCTATTTGTCAGGCTCGTAACGAGTTTCAACTTCAGAAGGTGTCGTAGGGCAGCTCAGCCTCCTTGCGTTGAGACCCTGCTGCCTGATGGATTTCTGTTTTTCCTTACAGGTTGTTGATGTGTGGCTTGCGGAACAAGATGCTGCAGGCATGTCCTGCTCATGCCTTTGCTGTGCTCTCAACAGATTCGGCGGCGTGAAGTTGTTAGGCCAGACCAGATGAGTGGCCGGAGAGCTCTAAGCCGCTTTGGCTGGGCCAGGGCAGCATTGCACCCGGATCTTCAGCTGCAGCGTTACGTGCTGGGTAACAATCTACGTTTGCCCGCAGGCCATCTGCGATTCGCCCGGCCAGGTGACGAACTTGACGCCGCGCAGCGCTTGGCCCCTGCTTGGCTCAGTGGCTGCCAAACAGGATGACGAATGAGCTGGTGCTTGGGCTTGTTAGGTCGCAAATGGCGCAGAAGAGGAGGACGACGAGATGTCTGCACCAACGTGCTCGACTTGGTAGAACGCTTCAGTACTTCAGGTGTATTGCCAGCAGCTTTGTGTGCCATGTGCTGGGTCAGTGAGCCCCAACTTAGAGATGAATCTGGTCGAAATGCCCACGGCAGGCAACTTGCCTACTAGTGATCACGGAAGTCACACGGAACGCTTCTGCGGCAGCTGGCCTGATGCATCCAAACCTTAAAACAAGGCGCTTCCATTGGCGTCCAGACTTGCGGCTGGGCAACGGCGCGGCTTGCGCAAGAATCGCTGAGGACAGATGTTCGTTAAATTTTAGAGGGCGGTAGATGCCGAGTAACACTGGGTCAAAAAGCCAGGTTGACATAAGCTACATGAGATTTCTCATTCGGACATTCGGCGCATCCACATGTGCCACCCAAGCCAAACTTCCACCTCAGTATGTCCTCCACATAGATCAGCTGCCATATCAAATCAGCAAATCCCATGATGCGAACTTCAGTCAGCAAATTAACAAGGCTGCCTTGATAGCACAAGGCTTGGACGACGAGCATTTGAGTACGACTCCCGAACGAGCCCGTAAGAGATTCTGCGTGTTTGTTTCTGGTCGCCTCGTCAGCATGGATAGCAGGAATCCCGGTGTCATCTTTTCTCGCGACAAATTGCCAACTCGCTTCCGGAAACTGCATCCTACGCTACCAGCACAGGTCCCAATACCTTCCAGCGCCTCCAGAAGTCTCCAAGCCACGTAGGAGCTTAGTTGCTTTAGCTAGCTCGTCTTTGCCTCCCCCAAGGATAGGCTACAAAAGAGCCCATGTTTGCTCCACCAGGACGGTCACTTCAAAAGATTGATCTCTGAAAGTGTGTGAAATCCGTGTCCAGTGGCTTGCTGAGGTATTGGCATGCCATGTTCTCCAAGGCTCATTAGTGATTGTTTGTCGATTTTGGAGGCTGACTGGCCGTCAAAGCTTGGACCAGCTTTTCGCGCCCTCCCCCTCCAGAGAGAGTTCTGTTGCTCTACGGGGAGCTGCGCGGGAATAAGGTTCACACCTGCGCGAGCAGTGGGGAGGACAATTCGTCACGCCCGGAGGAGGAAGGATGAGGAAGGTAGCTGCAGGCAATTCCAATTCTTTCCACACTGCTACCCGACCCGACCTGAACTAACTCGGACGTGCAGGGCTTTGGTGTGCCCTTCGTAAGCGGGGTGTGCAGCTGTGAGTTGGCAACACGAGAGCTCTGAGAGAGCATGCAAATTAACGCATGAGGGATTAGCGTGAGGTAGGATCTAGCATCAGAGTTGGACCCAAAACCAGTAACGGTGACCGCAGGGCCCTTATGCAGCAACAGTTGTAGTGAAAGGGAGAGTCAGGATGTGAGTTCAGTCGATTGATCATGGAAGTCATCGTGCTAATTTGCTGTGTTGTTCGAGGGGGCAGGGGTGCCATCCCTTAGCAGAGCGGAATCGGGGAAAAGCTGAAAGGGGCATGTAGATAATGGATACACTGCATGTTGTCGGGCTGTGTATGACCTGTGTGGTTCAGGCCTTGTTGTACTAGCCACTCTGCCAAGGAGGGGGGGGGGCTGGGACCTAGACTTTGAAATATGCGAAGATGCCTGTACCGCTTCAAAGGTAATTTGTCTCTGCAAAGTAAAAGTATCCGATCAGACCCAAGAAGAAATGCCCCCAGATACAGCAAGGGCCCAGTAGCTAGTAGTTGGCAGGGGTAATGTGAACTTGTGTCGCGCGACTGATAGTGCTGAGGAAGTGAATGTATAGAAAGGTGCGAGTAAGGAATTACATATCAAGGGGATTTGCGGCAACAGTGCCCTACTGGTGGGTGCATAGCAGGCATTAGCAGGCCATCCAAGAGGGAGGCATGCAACCACTCGGAATGGCGAAGAATCGAGGATTGCATCCCGGAGGGGCAGTTAGGCTAGTCATTGATTAGGTAGGGCGATGCCGAACCCTGAAGCTTCACAGCGCGATGGAGTGGGGAAGAGAGCGGGACTTTTGGTGTGGGAACGTGCATCCACGGTATTCTCCTTCACTCTCCGCACCTTGTTAACCTTGGGTAATACTCCAGGCTATAGCATCTCAAGTCCTGAAAGAATGTACAAAGGTTTCAATGCGATCTAGTGGGGCTCATCGCTTGGATTACATGACAGCCAATGCAGGAGCTGGATCCGAGGGAGCCTACCTTTGCAGACAACTTGCTCCATGAGTCGCTCCGCAGTTGGCGCCTTAAGCACATGCACATGCTACGCCACTCTCCACCGGGTACTGGAGCATCGATGGTGCCTGTCAACATGCACATCTTATAAGGTCTCCTGCATGAGGATAGCCCGGTACAGGACCTAGACGTTCGCGGCAATGGTTTGACACGAGAAGATGCGTCGTGTACTTAGCACGCTGGCAGTTCGATGTTGTACTAGTCATGCTCTATCACTGCAGCGCAAGATCCTGTCAGGAACCTGCTGCTTGACCTCGTTTGCAACCACAAGAGCCTTGTTCGTGAGCGACCCAACTTCTTCCGCGGACCATTGGCTGCTGGACATTTTTCACACGCTGCGGACAGGGGCAACTTGCAATGGTGGGGATGAAAACTGTTCCGGTGTTCAGTGTATTTCGACAGCTTGGAACCGTATGGAAGGAGAAGATTGCCAAAGACTTCTGTCAACTTCCACAAGCCGCTCCCTTCAAGCACAAAGCAAGCCTCAAGAGAAACCTCCAGTGAGATGAGGATCCGAAGGCTCTTGGGCTGTCAAGTTCTGAGTCCAGAGCTCCCAAAGCCAAGGTGTGGCAAACCATGGAACTGAAAAGGGCAGTTGGCGGATAGCCCTGAAACTCAGATAGGGCAAAAGCTTGCGAAGCCCAGAATCTCCTAACCAAAACTGTCTGATCTCAGTTTCTACAGTATGGTCTCCCACGGCAATAGACAAATTGTCTGGATGGTGCATCCTACTGCCGCACCCTTGAGGAAGGTATCAGACCAAACGGGAACGAGGTACCCAGCTCCCCCACCCTCCCTCGAATAAAACGTTGCCAGCCTCAAGACTTGGAAGGGGTGTGGCAGTTCCAACAAGGAAGGGAAAACACAGCAAGCCGCAAAGCCGCACCCAACCCCACGACACAACCGCGGTAGTGGAGAGCTAGCTCATGGGGCACACAGGAAGCAGACCTTGCTGCATAGTTTGGCATGGTGTCAGAAAGACCTGTCGGCGCTTTCCATGCCCAGGTCTCAATCAACTGCCGGTCATGGCTTGCCTCTTAGCCAAAGCCCTGCAATATTTGCCCACACGTCATTCTGCCAAGGAGGATGAAGCAGCAACATGCAGGGTGTTGCGTCCGCTGCTGAGTATATTAGAGCTGACGCACCATGGCTTACGCATTGTTTTGTGCAGATATTGATGGCGTGGGCATCGGAGAGCCTGGAAAGCAGGCTTTGAAATCTGGCCTTAGCACTGCTGCAGAAGTGGGCCAGCTCGTCTGCAGGCGGGAGACGACGATCCGTATGGCGATGAGGATGAAGAGGACGACTGTGGCAGACACACCTGCAGATTTCAACACAGGTTTGGAAGAAAGTGAAGGTCCTAGCTGTGCAGATCTTAAGCTGTTGCTCAAAGTACTATGCAGCAAGTTTGCTACATTTTTTTTGTTTCTCCGCCGCCGGGGTATCAGCTTCTCCTGGTTGACTGGACATGGTCAGTCCAGGATCCAACTGATGAAGCCTACGCAAGGGAGGTGCCGTAGTGTTGATTGTTTGCTTCACCATGTGGGAAGCTGGGAAGTTTTTGTTGACTTGAGATCCGTTGAAAGGTGTTCGAAACAAATTTTGCTCGAATGGATGACGGCCTTCGCCTTGGCATGCAGGACTTCGGGGTAGCCATCTCTGCTGGATAAATGGCAGCATTGCAGCCTTCCCTACTGGCATACTGGCTCAGCAGCTGCTGAAAAGCTGTTAGCCAGTGCGTGCCACTTAATTAGTAGTTGAGCACATGACCAACGCTTTTTTTCCAGGTTTGCCAAATTGGACGCCCAAAATATGTATATAAACTCAACGAGATTCACCACAAACCCTAGACGCCCGCCACTAACCAACAACACAACCTACAGTATGTCTGTGGGACCGGACTGCAACAAGTTTTGACCACCTTTTGCTGGAGCATTATGCATTCGAATCCGCCAACATTTGTGCTCTTTGTCTTGCTTTCTGCCTGCGAATCTTGGCTTTGCAAGTTATCAGGGCGGACAGCTGTTGGTGATTCAACCATGGTCTCCTGTGGTGTTCTGTTGAGGCTGGTCGCTCAGCAGAAGCAGAGCCGTCCCTGGCTTGGGATGCCCTGCGAGATGGGCTGACGGCCTGGGAGTCGCTGGAGTTTGACGTGGGCTTTACTTTTGAGGCGCCATAAACATGCTTTCATCCTTTGCCGAAGTTGCCTGAGAGCGCTGCGAGCACAAACCTGGCATTCCTCCCTGACCAGGTTGCAAATGGCAGCCACATCCTCTTCGCTTATTCTCCTGGCTTGCGAAGCAAGGTACCGCAGAAATTGAGACCGCTGGCGGAACATGGCGTCGATATTCGTATCAGCGGTGTGCAGAGCTCCTTCGCCCAAAGCTGCGATGTGATTGTTATGAATGAGATGTTTCGAAGGCATCTTGAATGCCCTATGATCTTAGGTGACCTGCTACGCCAAGTCTCAGTCCCAGTGGTTATGGCAATCCTTGATGGGAAGGAGAGATGCACGCATCGCATCGTAAGTTAGTTGCGTGCGCACCACCACAACGCAGAAGAAGCGGTATTCGCCGCCCCGCCACCAATGTCGCGGCCAGCTCTACCACCTCCACCTAGCGACGCTAGCGACGATGCGAGTTTGCACTTTGCACTTCGTGTCCATTCCTAGGAAGCCAGTGCCACTCATTGGAGCCCAAGCTCCTGGATTAATACTCACTGAATCAAGGTCTGTGCTTGAGTGAGATGAGTTGCCAGGACCCATCGAAAACAGCTGGACCCGGGAGTGTGAGCAGGACTCAACTACTCTCACAACGAGGCTGTACCTGGCGATGTTCAACTCCCAATTGTCCACCTGCGCTGGCAGGTGGCGTGACGCTACCGGCCCTGGTGTCCATCGTCAAACATCAGCCCTCCGTTGCAGAAGGATGGCAGCTTCTCAAGGATGGCCTCGATGCATGGGCTTCACTGGGCTGGGATAAGGACTTCTCATTCAATGTTGGCCAGATCCTCAGTACAAGAAACCGATAGAGCATGTGAGCTGCGAGCAAGTGCTGTGGCCAACTCTCGCTTTTAGACGGCCGCAGGCGATGCTCGAGGATCACTTTTCACGTACACCAAAGGCAGGCGCGTCTTGCCATGGCTACCTGCAGATTTGGGAATGTTTTCCAAGTAGATGTGAGGTAAGACGCACATGCACAAACGATTGCGGGGAGCCAGCCTGTCCAAATGGCCAGCATCGCTGGCCATTGCTGGGCTGGTGGCTGATGGCAGCTTGTCCGAAGAGCATGGGAACTAGTGGCTCACAATCCTGCTTGCCAGCGTTTTGGATTGTATTGATTGAATCAATTGCCAAAAAGGCTTCACCCTGCCCTATGCCCTTATGCCCCCCCCCACCACCCCCCCAAACCATCAGATTCACTCGGAGAAGCACATCCAAAACAACAAAACTCGTGGGACTTCCCTACCCGCAAAACGAAAGCGGGAGCATGGACAAAGTCCTCGAACGTGCCGAAACTGGGGTTTTGAGCATACGACAGAGTGGAAGCGACGAAATCAAAAACGGGAAAAGCACTTGGAGAAGTAGGCTTCCAAGAATTGATTGAGGGGGAGGGGGGCCCTTCCCCCCGCTTTATGCGCCTCCGGCCCCTTTCAGGCACTTCAGCAAGACTTGCAGTTGCATTTAATTTGAAAGTTGTCATTCAACACCTCAGCCCTACGACTGCTGCTGCTCCTTCTCTGCCTCGCGCTGCTGCCTCTAGCTGTCGTAGCCCTTCTCAAGTGGGTCGTTTGCAAGGCAATCCAAAGTCTGAGTTAGCAAGCCGCAATGGTCTGTTCTTGTTGTCACCGCTTCGCCAAGATTGTTTGTAGTTGCTTGCCTCCTGGATGTGAGACAAACCCAAGCTCAAATATGGTTGTATCCGCACGATTTACATGACAGCGACGCCTGTAGGAATCAGCAATAAGAACCGCAGTGGCTTGCAGCTGTATGGTGCTTTTGCCTTTTGACGTCAGACTTTGACTTTTTGTGGGAGGGTTGCACAAATCGCCCTGAGCCACATCCCTAGCACTCTCACAGCAGCGCTGAAGGCACTCTTTCGTTCAATGACAAGGCCAACAAGTACCTGGAGTGGTGGTCGCAGGACCCAGAGGATCCAAGAAGCAACATCACCTTGAGACATCTCATGACCTTCCAATCTGGTTCCTCAGCTCTGATTGCATGAGAGCGAGCTGCCTTAGAGCGCTAGCTTCATGGCTGGGAGGCTATACCAAAGATCCGATGCTCCTGTGCAGCTACAATCCATGGGCCGATTTTCTTTCATGTGCAAAGCAGCTGTACGAGACTGCTGGTCTGACAAGCCCGCCAGGATTGGATTTTGATGTTATGACGGAGTAAGGGTTGCTAAGGCTTGCTTGCAAGAGCTGATCAATTGTTACTTCCTGTCAGCAGGAACAACGTGGGCATACATATCGATTCACCTACAGTTTGCCGCGGCAATGGCAGTTGCAGCGTCTGGTCTGCGACCTGACAAGCTGTTCGAGAAGTACCTCTACAAACCGCTAGGTGCTGCCATGGGAGGTGCAGTCACGGCATGAGAGATCAATTTGACAGCCTGCCTGCAGGCATGAATGAGACCACCTGGACGCCTTTGAGGAATCCTCAGTTCGCAGCTGGCATCACAACCACAGGTGCAGATTTCGAGAAGATGCTGCAGAAGCTTCTTACCTACGAATTCCTTGGGAGAGAGGTTCTGTCAGACATGGACAGAGACTGGTCGGCTCCGCCTGTGTCTCCATGTGGTGACGGATGGTTTGGGCACTATGGACCCTCAGCTAAACGCACCGTCAGTCTTGCATCTATCAGGGCGTGTTGTGAGAGTCCAAGGAATGGGCCATTGGTTTGACTGCATGGGCTATGGATCTGGCCAGGATGCAGGATCATCAGCACCGCTCTCGGGGCAGTGCATGCAGGAAGAAATTCAAGCCGGCCCGGGGGCCTTTGGCTATTTTCCGCTGCTGGATCGACGACGGGGCTTCTACATGCAAATTGTTTTGGCCGAGGATGATCTTGCTTTGCACCTTCTGGTGTAAGTGGGGATGCCTTTGAAGTTGCTTGTTCAAGACGAATGCGTCAGTGAAAGGACTCCAAGTGCCGCAGTGAGATACCAGAGTACCTCCGCATCATCGCAAAGCCCGTGGTGGATGCGCTTGCACTTGGCGATCCTATCTCAAGCGAACGCCTACTTCAGAGCAGCTTGACCAGCAGAGTGTTGCACGAATGCTTGCTGCTTTGTCCTGGAAGGTGTTTCCAAGCATGCCTTCACTAAGAACTGCATTCTCCTAGGTAATGGTGGGTTGCTATTGCGCGAACTCGTTGACATTCGGAAGTCATTGCCGCCGCGCTGCTGGCCGCTTCCTGTCCGCGAGACGACCTGGGTCATTTGACGCCCAGGATCGGCATGTACATAGATGAGCTGTGCTGTGCAGCGATTGTTGCTGAGAGGCGTTTGCATCTTCTGTGACAGAAGCTATGCCATTGCATGTGCCAGAGAAATGCAGATGCCTCGCGTAACTCTAAATTATCCTCTGGATCTTGGGGTTTGCAGGCCATTTCGTATGTCATTAGCTCAGACTCCGGTTCCTTGCAGCAAAGGTGACGGTTACTTGTTCTTGCAGCTTGCGCTCCTCTCAGCATGCGCTCAATTGCTGAACCTTTGAAGGTATCACTAGCACTAACAGCAGCAGGTCAGGGAAAGCAAAGTCCTTGTCGTGAGGTCGGTCCCAACTCCTTCCCAGAGCTGCGCGAGGCAGGAGCAAAATCAACCTGCATGGGCACTGCCATGAGCCCTCCGTTCTGGAAGGTCACGCTGCGCAAGTTGGAAATACCGCAGGACTCCACGCTTGCCGCGCCCCAGATAGTGCTGCATCATCACGACTTGTTGGATTGGAGCAAGCTCCCGCCTCCTCCTCGACATGCACATCCAAGGCACACATCACCGACGCTCTTTTGAATCTGCGGTCAGTGGTCACGTCCTCAGTGCCTTCAAGCTGTCCTGCCCGCCGGCTGTTTATGTCTAAGGAAGTGCTGCGCATTTCCGATCTGCGGTTGTCAAGTCGGGGTGCCAGCCTGTTGTTGCAGGTGGGTTTGCGGGCCATAGATCCCAAATGATATGCCGGTGCCAATTCATGTGTGAAGGCAGTTGCCGAGCTCGCGCCTCGCCTAGTCAGCGGGTGCCTTACATTGTGGTGCCAAAGATCAGCATGGAGGGAATGAATCGGAATGAGTGTCGAGTTGGTTATTTACTTATTCTTGTCGGCTGAGGTCTGAATGGCCTGCCTTTGGCTAGACTTGTCCAGCTGAAAGACCATCCAGAAGGCCACCGCTAGCAGACAGGCTTTCCCAAGCCAATGCATCTACAGCATGCAGGTGGCGCCCCACTTGAACTTTCTGACAACATCGCTTTAATCTCAGATGGTGCATCAATCAACTGGTAGGAACTTGGAGAGTCGACGATTCTTCTGCAGGAATGGAATGACTTCACATTGGGCGTGATGGCAGGAGCCTTGCATCCGAAAGGGCCACATTCCTTGCCCACTGGCTGTTCGCTTTTTTTGAGGCACGCCTGGGCCTGTGGTCCGTTGTTGCCTTCAGTGCAGGTGGATCAGGCAGGAACGCAGCATGTCTGAGCTGACCCAAGCAGCATGCCAGTTCGGCCATGCGATTTCTCGAATGATGGAGGTGTGGGGGTCTCCGAGCTGAAGCTGGAAGGCCTGGCTGCTGTTACTTTGCAAATAGCTGGTGTATATTTCAAGGCTCTGTGTGGTAATAAGGTCACAGTCTCACTGACAGCTCCTGAGACGGGTGTCGCTATGCTGACCAGCACGGCAAGCTTGCATCTGTGGTGCAGTGACTGCTGCACCTGCAAGGATGTAGGGCTTCGGGGTTTGTGCGCCATGCTGCGACACTTCGCTTCGCAGGCACGTGATGCCTCATCTTGGTTGCTCTCCGGTACTCCACAGATGAGTAAGTATACTAAGCATACCGCAGCTTTGTGGCAGGGTGCCGCGCGGAGCAGCGGAATGCTTACAACCATGAAGTGCAGGGCAGTGAGGGCTTTGATCACATCTCACACGTAAGGTGGGCTGGTCAACTTGTCAAAGATTGACCTGTCTGGTGCGGGATTTGACTGCTTGACTTTTACACACATCCTTTTCATACGCTAGGAAACTTGCAAATCACAGATGCGACTGTGGCGGACTTGTGCCACACGCTGAAGACCCCGTGACCTTCTCTGAGGGTTGCATAGCATCCATCAAGACCGATCTCCTTGGCTGCTTGTCCATAGGTACCTGGCCAGCGCTCTGCGTGGTGGTCTCTGTGAGTTAAATCTTCGTGGCTGCTTGCGTCTGACGACCTCTCAGTTCTGGCTAGTATTTGCTACCTGCTACTCAAACATTGTGGTCTCAGCTTGCATCCTGTAGTTGGATCTCTTCCCGCTCTTTGAGCTAGCTGTTGACCCAAGCTTGCTTACGTGTCAAAATGGCCGGCTTGAAACAAAACATTGCCTCATGCATAATACACAAAAAGTGCGCTAGGGGGGGTGTAGAGATGGCGTGTCACAGAGGGCGCTGAACGCGACAACATGCTTTTTTTTGGCAGATAGTCTGATGACGAGCCTTTGGAAGTATAAGGAAGTCTGATTCGCGCCCTTGCCTCACTCAGGAAGACTCGTTCGGCGTACGAACTTCTGAACTTCATGCAGCATAGCCGGGAGGCAACTAGATTCCTTGTGTTGTGGCACGAGCCCATGGAATCGCATAGTTGTCAACATCACGTGTGAGGGGGGTGCAGCTGGAAGCAGCCTGCGCATGGTCAACGGCGTTGACATGGATGCCCGGTTCTCAGTTCAGCCTTGCGGGGTGTTCTGAAAAGATCGGAGACAGCAGCGGATTGGACGCACCGAGAGGTGCCTGGCCAGGTGGCTAGTCGTGGTCACCATCGAATTGAGAGAGTTTTCAGATTGTTAGCGAAGAAGATTGTTACGGTGGTTGTCATTAGTCATTGGGCGTGATCGTGGTGGCGGCGGGGTGATTTTAAATTTTAGCAGCACTGCTGCAGCAGGTAGGACGAAGAGAACCGCTAGCTATGCCATGCCCAGGACTAGGAGAGGGAATGCGCATGAAACACACGTGACATGCCGCAGAAAGTCAAGGCTCTGCAAGCAGCGACTCGCAGCACAGCTGGAGCCAACAGTCGGCCAACAGCCCCACCAATGTTGATGCGGCCTCAGATCTTTGTTGCCTGAAATCAGCGTTCCTTTTCTAAGCGCCACGCCCCATCAGCTGGCTGAAATGCACGTAAAGGCTTCGCAACTTCCTCGACCCCAGCGTGCATCCACCTCAGATGAGCGAATTGAGATGGTGTGGTAGGAGGGAGTCGGGGGCGTTTGCCCTGCAAGGCTTAGGCAACATGTGCGTCTCAGTGCAGCCAGCTGTAGATTGAGAATTGCTAGCGATGCGCTGCCAGATGTTTGTCCTTGGTGTCAGAACATGACAAGTTTTCTTCTGTGCAGACACCCATGCAAGCTACACTTCCGCCACCTTCGTCAAGCACCGGGTGAAGATTGAATGTGATGTCAAAGTTAGATTAAGAGCACATGTGGGCTGATGCAGCTGCTGCAGCTGTTGGTGGGAAGAATTCGTTGTGGTAAGCCACGATGACGTCCTTTCAGTTGGCACGTTGCTGTTGATCACGGAGCCAGGCCAGCAGTGGGTGGCAAGGCCGTTTTGACTGCAACGAAATCAAGGTGCCATGTTGGATGTTAAGTCTGACAGGTCACCTCCCTGGCTTCCATGTCAGAGTGTGACGTGCACTTCTTTGCAGGAGTCATGTACTCGATCAGCTTTGGTATCTTTCATGGCTGCATCTTTATGGTATTGGCTTCTTCCAGGTGATGCACCACTTCCAGAACATTCCTTATTGTCACGTGTCATCGCCTGAGTGCAGAATTGCCAACCCGGATTGCAGACAGATCACTTGTATGCACGGGAGTCACGCCCAAGTCCTCTGTGCTTCAGGTATAATACAATATGTCTGAAGATATTAGTCAGTCAGATGAAGCAGTTGTGAGGCACATTGTTGTGTCGCCTCGTCTCCTCAGTGCTGCATCTGGTTCATCGCCCGAGTTTTGGGGAAGGCCGGCAGAGGCTTGAGCTGGACCGTACTTGCAGCAGCGTGTCTCAAGGCCACCCCACCAAGCCTGGTGCCTGTCGACTGCAGTTTTTGAGTCACGCTTCGAGTGTTCCGGCAAACCTTGCACCGAGGCCGGTGCTCCCTGCAGCGATTGTCTCAGCTGCTTCTGCTAAGTCTTCTGCATATGACTCATATGACAAGCTGCAGTTTGACTCAGGCAATGACAGTCCTTTTCCACCACCGGTGGAAGGTGGTCGAGTCGCCGCTGTAGCTGCCAGCAGCCCAAGCACTCAGATGCTGTCGCCCGCTGACTGAGAATTTGCCCAGGCGCGCCTGCAGGCGCACATTGACTCGACTTGCAGGCTTTTTGAAGCGTGTTGGTGCCTGAGATGATTTTGCATGCCGCAGTATCCTCGGGTAGCTTTGGGAAGCTTGTCTCTAGTCCCAGAAGCGCAGGGCACGGAGCTTAAAGACATTTCACATCCGTTTGAAGGCAAACAGCGCCGATGCCAATGAGCAGCTTGCAAAGTAGGCGACAGATGCAAAGGGACCTCCTCGCATGAACCAGGGAACGACAAGCTTTGACTCCAGCACATTTCGGGCAACGCATAGGTGCTGTATGGTGCTGTAGCATGGCATGGAAATCGGACCCGCATCCTCTCACATCAGCATGTCTATTCATCGGATACTACACGACACTTCTGTCGCAAGCTGCAGTCACGTTTCGCTTTTGCTGGTTGTATGAAATCGAAGCGATGCAGCAGGAGTGGGAGTTTGCAACAGTTTGGAGTTTGGAGGCTCTAAGCGCTATCGCCAGACAAATGGACAGATAGACATTTAGAGGCGGTCGGTGTCAGGTGGGCCAGTCGGCCAGACAGTGAGGAGTGGACCTGCACGGGCGTGTCAAAGATATAGATGGGCGCGGATTAGATTGCCCTGCCACGTTTAGGGTGGTGTGAGGGGAGAAAAAGCGAGGGTAGAAAGGGCGGGGGTGGAGGGTGAGAAGCGGTTGAGACAACAGGGTTTGTATACAGCTTGGGATAGCTGGATAGCTTGTTGCGGGATAAGAGGGTCTATTCGAAGCTTGGCATCTGGTGATTGCCTAATGTAACGACAAGAGGGCTTGCTTCACTGTGTGCATGCACTGTCTGCAGACTGCGCCAGCAAAGCTCGCATATTGTCAAGAAACCCTGCTTAGTCGTTGCATGCTCGTACTGCATCATTTGCCGGGGATCTGAGGTCCAATACTGGCAGAGCTCCGTGTTTCTATGATACCGTCAGTTCCTGGTTGCGAGGCAAGCAGCTCATCTTCGGCTTGAGAGGCCCCAGCAGCAAAAGCATTCATCATCTCACATTGTTTGCAGGACTTGCTTACTGCAGCTGGCCATGATGTGCTCATAATGCGCTTACCTTGGCCAGATGAGGTTCTTTGTTCGTTCCTTGTGGACCCTGTCACGGCAAGGCCTGCAAGCAATCCAGGCGGTGGGCAATCAGTGCCAGACCAAGCCTGCATCAGTGAAGCAGTCCATGGATGGCATGGCATCTTCAAGGCGATGGACAGCTTCAGCCACATCAAGCAGCGACTGCAGGATAGAGAGCTCGCTTATGAAATGATCGCATCTTCGCTTGGAAGCGCCTCCTCTGCTGAGCTTGGGGTGCCCAGGACAAGGCGGCAAGACGCAGAAAGAACAAGCAGGGTCCAGGCAGCTTGCAAAAGCTGTCTTGACCGGTGAACGCTGCCTGTCGGCGCAGGCAATGTAGGGAATCCGCCGAAAGCGCTCTATGCCTGTGGCCCAGCCGGTGCCTGCTGAGCAGCCTGCACCAATGCCAAGTGCATCTCAAGGTAAACAACATCAACCGGCAGCGCTTGCACTGTTGCTACCGGACGCTTTACGGTGCGCCGCCACAGCTTGCACTTGACCGTTTTGCTTTTGCTGTGTGTCATGGCGTGGTGGAGGCAAAGACGATGCTGAGCTGGCACATGCGGATGTCATGCCACCGGACCAACTTGCTGCCATCAGCCGAAGCCGAAGTTGAAATCACAAGGGTAAGGCGGTGCTTTGCAGCTGGGTCCATATGCGAGCAGCAGCCTGTGGTTCAGGTCTTCCGAGTGAGGTGGACGTGTCAGGCTTCTTTGCAGTCGCAACGCTCGACCCTTACATGTTGCGGAGTGCTGTGCGTGCACTGATCTTCAACACATGTCACCGGTAGTTGCAATTCACACGGTACGAGGCCTGCCTAGTAGCCAAAATCGTTAGCCTCCTCTTGGTCTGATTAGATGCTGTGCCTCGAGAAATTTCCAAAGAAGCAGATCTTAGAGATTTCTGCTGCGCTGTCCAGGCAAGATGCATGACCAAACAAATGACTAGGTTGCTAGGTTGATTGCGTTGCTTGTTCCTTCGACTTTCAGAGACTAGCAGGTAGCAACACGAAGCGAAGGCGTGTCCAATCAGAGCGGCTATTTGCATAACGTAGCAGTATTGTCGCATTTTGTGGCATCGTGTCTTTCATCACTGCCTTTGCTGTCTGTAGGCGGTCAGCATAGCTTCCCATGCCTAACCTGCACACAGACCTCTGGCAAGCAGAGGTGTTGGATACATTGCACAATCTCTTTTGCAGTCTGCGAAGCCGCTGAAGAACACCTTAGAGCGACTTCCGAATCGGAGCCGTTGAGTAGCAACACAGTCGTTGCTGCTTCAGGTCTGTGGACCTTCAGCATCTGGATCTTGGCGCGCAGCTTACTCTTAGGCCTCCCAGGATTTTGCAGTGAGCCAGCTCTTACACTTGTTGAAAGCTGAGGACCCAGTCACATAGCAAGACTTCCGGAACTCTCGGAACTACCTGCATTGACGCATGCCTTGCTCCCAGATCTGCAGCAGTCAGCCGTGGCCGCTTGAGGGAGCTTCGTTTATTACCTCATGGAGTGCGTCTGGGATCCTGCCTGGTTTTTTGAGCTTGTCTGCGCCACAATCTGGATTTTCCGGCGTTGGCTCGGCGGGCCTTTTGGGCTAGATTCTTGAGGGTTATCTTGGGGTGATCTTGGGGGGTTGGGGGCATCTTGGGTGGATCTTGGAGGGTGTTCATTTGGGAGGCTTTCGGTAGGAGGGTTGCAGTTCTTTTCATGGGCAGTGAAGGCTCGGCCGTGCGCTCTTCTGGTTGTGAACCGTCTGTCTCTTCACGTCCTGTGTCACTAGTCCTGACCGCTGTTGAGCTTTTGTCCCAGCCTGTGGCTCTCAAGTCGTGACAAGGCATGCCATAGTACTGGCGTGATATGTCCGTGTTCCTATATGATGGGACCTCACGATGGTGACTTAGGTGAATCTGAACCACAACCACCTGGGTGATGCGGGAGTGGAGATTCTGCTTGCGACTCATATCCCAACGGGTTCGCTACGAACTACACCCTGGGCTGGGCATGATTCAGTGATGCGGGCAGGTTCCGATCGCTCGTCGACACGGGAAGTAGCGTGGAACACGTTGCCTTGGTTTCAAACGACATCGGTGATGAAGGCAGATCTGCGACATGGACCGTGACATGTCCATTTCCAGTGCCCAGTGCAAAAAGCGGGTGAAGCACGAAAGCACATGTGCTTGTCAGATTGTCCTGATCAGGCGCCTCCATCATCGCTGCAAGCCTTGGCAACCTGCCGCGTCTCACGAGCCTCGAGTTGTGTGACAACTTCATTCAGGACTGCTACTGGTTTGATGCCATTTCTGGGACATCTTCAGAAAATGACGCCGCGAGGAGAGAGGCAGCATCGCCATAGCTGAGTCCATTGGTGGTGTCGCTCCTCCAGACGAGGGCGATGACATTGAGGAAAGGTTTTCGCAGGCACAAATCAGCCAAGCTGCCCTGTCGCTGGCAGGCAGTGTCCAACGTGCCACTTCCAGTGCTTTCAGTTGACTTGCGCGGAAACAGAAGCCGCCACTTGGCGGCTAGTAAAGTGCTTACCAGACAACACAATTTCCATGTAAATGTAGCTGCCTAAGGTGAGCTTGGAGCCCGCCGCTGGGCAGAGGCCATGCTGTTTTCAGAGCTTCGTGCAGGCACGTGCGCCTTTGCCCAGGTGGTTTGCAATCATCCTGACCTCAAGTTCCTCAACTTGGCGCAGATGGGGCCACAGACGACAGTTTTGCTTTGCGGTTTGCGCTGCGGCCCTGTAAGTCCGTTTGCTCCTGCATCCTCTGCTGTTAGCATCTTGGAGGCCCAGGGACTCTTGTTGCAGATCTCGCCGACTCTCGCCACCACTCTCGCACCACATTTATGTGATGCACTTCCCTGGTTTGCTCCCATGCTTTGAGCATAAGCTTACATCTCGAAGGATGTCACTCGCCCATTCCAATCTTGTACAGGGCTAATATTCTGGTGGGTACTGGGTTGTGCGTGGTGTTTATCCTTCTTGGGATCTCCTACAATCTTTCGAGTATCAGGAACACCAACAGCATCAAGCGAACTCCTGGAACATTGATAGGACATGTATGCAGCAACGCGGACCAAGCAACGTGCAACGCCAGCGTGGACAGGCTACAGCACCCAAAGCAGCATCCCAACAGCCACCGCCACAGCTCACTCGATATGACAAAGTTAGTTCACAGGACCAGGTTCGCCAGCCAAGCAGCTATTGTTTTGCAAGTGCATCCTACGGGGGCATTTTGGGGAGCTCAGGGCTGATATCTCTTCATCGATTCAGTGCCGCCTTCAACACAAGTGTTGCAAAGTCATCTACCAAGGGTTGCTGGTGGACCGTTCCATTTTGCAGGTTCTGCAAGGTGGTTGCAGTTGCGTGCTCGAGAATCTCGAGGGTACGGGGGTATGCGGTGGTCAGAGTTCCCAGAGCGCAAACTTGAAAACACTTGAAAACGCATAACGAGCGCATAACGATAAATACTTGCAAAGCTTGTCCAAGTCACTCCTGACGGCTTTTTCTTGGCGCTGCTGCCATGATCCTGTGCAAATCAGCTGGCTGGCTTAGGAATGAGCTTGGGCTCTTGACCAAAGAGATCTTTCTAGACCTAGGCAGGATTGTCAGTTTCTGACGGAATGAGACATGATTCTTTGACACCATGTTTGGGTTTCTGCAGTCTCTGTCCAGTCTGTGCTGCTGTTACATCTGCCTCATTGAGTGCCTGAGCCCTAGATGTGTTCAGCAAGACAATCCAGTTGAGGTGAAATGAGCTTGCCTGGAAAGATGATATAATCGTATCTTAAGAGGTGCTGGACTTGCAAGACAACTTTCCCGTCGCCGGCCTTGGAAGTTCAGAAATGGGACCACCACCGCCTGAGGTGAGCGAGGACGCTTGTGCCCTTCATGCTTCCAGCACACTCTAAAACTGTTATGCTGCTGCTCTCTCAGCCTTTCATTGCATCAAGAATGTTTGGGATGAGCAAAGAGGTGCTTTCCATTCATCATGCTTATTGCAAAGCACTGTAGCTTGAGCTGGAGCAAAAAGCTACCCACAAACAGCAATCATTGAAAACATGAGCGCCATGTCGCGTGGGACCCTTGGACCCATGCGGCGAGCCAGACAAACTGGGCGCACTCCACCGCCTCCGATAGGAAAGCGCCGCCCCCTTTCAAAGGGAGTAGATACGCCACCTGTTCCGAGGTTACTTACTCCACGTGTAGCGAAAGGTGCTGCTCCGGAACACGAACAAGATGCTGCAGCTGCGGCTGCTCTGGCAGACCCACCTTCCAGCTGCGCTGCCAGTAGCAAGATAGTTGGAGAAGCCGTGAATGACTTCTGGAAGACCTTGCGGCCTGCAGCCAACGCCAGCTTGTATCAGATATCAACGGAACCTCGTTGGAGATTCAGCCCGCTGGCAAGAGACCTGGAAGCCAAGCAAAAAGCGCGGCCTAACAGACCGCAGTCCAGCGAGAAGCATCCTGCTTTGCTGTCTTCGCCTCGAGAGCCAAAGCGCCACTTTTCCTAAACGTCTTTTTATTAGTTTTCGTCAGTCCTAAGATGGCTTTATGAGACAGATGGCCTAGCTGACACCAGTCATTTGAGCCAAGGCAGTGCAGCTCACGAGCAGTCCCCTGAACAATCTCAAAGAACAACACACCAGGCCTGGCTACAAAGCTGAGCTGGCCATTCCATGAAGAGCCCTGGTTAAACTTCCGGCCACAGCTTGAAATGGTTTACAGTATACAGGTGGTGATGCATGAGCTACCCCAGCCTCAGTAATTGTATTCGAGGTAGTGTGTGCAATTCTGCGCCTGTAAATGGAAGATTCCAAGAAATTGTACAGGTCACAGAGGCAGCGATGAGTCCACGCCCACATGCCGACAGACGCTCTGGAGGTGGTTTCTGGCATGCTGCAAAAATCCTTTGTAGGACACATGCTTGACTGGTGTTGTTTGTTGCTGCAGCACGGTGGGGAGCACAAGTGCTCGATGCCCAGGTTCCGAAGTCCGCAACGTTCTCGCTTCCACCGTCCGACGCTCTGCAACACCACCAGCAGTTGCTTTGATGGCCGGCTTGCCCTGCCACTATGGTGGGGGCAAAGCGAGAGACGCAACTATGTGCGATGGTGGAGTTCAAAGGAATGCTCGCTCTGCCGGCATTGATGCAATACGTGATGGACCTGATCCAACACCAGGTGACAAAGCCGAGCACGTGCATGTCGCGATAGGTGAAATGCCACCTGGATTTGGTGCACCCAGTCCAGGTGCCGTTCCAGATGACGTGGGCGCGCCTTGCTCTTCACACAACACACAGGCCACCCCCTGGTGTGACAGTGGCCCCTGTGAAAATGCTGCGCTCCCAGTGTCACATGGATCGCCCTCGGAAACCATGTCGATAGCTGCAGGCACAGCTTGTGAAATTGAGCAGCGCCCTTCAGCGGCTGAGACCGCAGATCAGACAGACAAGACTTCAAAAGCAGGTGCTCAGGCAGCTGGCATAGACACAGATGTGGAAGCACATGTTGAAACGCTGGAGCCTGCCAGATCCTCCAAGGAAAAGCATGTTGTCCAGACGGGTCAACCAAGCGGAGGGCAGGTCACAAGGCACTTTGAATCTGAAGATCCTGCAATTACTCAGCTCTGGGTGGACTGCAAGAGCCTGCGACAAGAAATGGCAGAGCTTCTTGAGATTGTGCAGCGCACATGCAAGAGATGCCGTGTTTCGGCTGTTGGTCTTACTCCTCCAGATTTGACACCACGTTCCCGTGGTATGTCTCATCGCTCAGAGCTCCGGAAACTTGTTGAGGCATTGTGCCTTGCTCACGAGTCTACCGTAGCAGCTGCCGAGGTTGCAGAAGTTCGCAGAACTCGGTCGCCTGAGTGCAGGCGTCGCCAGTCATCCGCACCAGCTCGTGCTTGCCGCTCCCAACATCCTGGGCCTCGTCATAGCAGCGAGAGAGAAGTGCAAGAAATGGCCGAGGAGATCGAGTTTCTTCAACGCAAGTTGCAGGCATCCGAGGCCAGGGAGGCAGAGCTGAGGGCGGAAAGCAGTCGGCAAGAGCCGAGATCGCGAAGTGAAGGTGCGCCAGAGCGGGCGCCTGAACCAGAACCCAAAGCAGATGTAAGCGCGGACTGTGCAACCCACAGCACTTCAGGCGCTAACACTTGTCTTTTGCAGTGTTCACTGTGGCTTACCATGCACAGTCACTATACTGAGTGTTGTGGAGACACGGGTCGATGTGGCACAAAATCCAGAATCCCAAAGCTGCGCCGTGCAAGACAAGCATGGTGGCAGACTCCGGTGTACATGTTACGGCTATGTGGAAGCCATTCACAGCAGTTCGCACTGGAACATGAGAAGTAGGTCGTGTTCTTGTGGAGGGACACTCCATGCCGTGCACATCTAATTAAATTGCAGAACTTTGTGCAGGTGACGCTGAAGCGGTGACACAGACCTTGAGCAAGGCAGGCATCCAAGCTGGACAGGCTGATCGTTGGATGTTAGCTTTTGTGCAGGTGTCCCGGGTGTCCCGGGCATCGTCCTGGGCATCCTTGGACTCCAAAGCCCACCTCCTGCAGCTGGCTGTTGACAAGCAAGCGGAGGCATGGTGCGCGGAGGGGAGGGGGGTGAGGAAGGGGTGTTGAGGGGAAGATGGGAGGGGAGGGGGAGAGGAGGGAGGGGGGGAGGGGAGAGAGGGCCTTTGGGGGAGGTATAGGCAGACCGGGCTATGGGAGGAGAATGGAGGAGATTTACTCATGAACTCATGTGTTCGCTAATGGGCTACTTAAATTGATTGCGCTTACTACGCCCTTCATTTGCTTGGAGAGCTTTTTTACGCAGCATCATGCTGGTTGTTTCTGCAAATCTCCCTACTCCCTATGTGGTGTTGCGTGCCCTTGCATAGATATGGCAGGCAGATCATCATAGTGTTCTCAGGGTACGAACCATGTCATGCCCGGTGGTCGCATCACACTCTCTACTCCCTCTGTAGTGTTTACCAACCTTGCATGGTTGTGGTGCAAAGACATTACTTCTGGTGGTTGCGTCAAACCTCCCGACTCCTTTTGTAGATCTCTGTAGTGTTCCACAATCTCGCAAGGTCATGGTTTGAACAACACGATGCTGATTGTTTCGTCAAAATCCCCTACTCTCTCACGTGCCCTCGCAAGGTCACAGCACGAATAAACCATGCTGGTCGTTGCATCAAACCTCCCCACTCTTCCGCAGTGTTCACCACCCTCGCGTCTGGCCATGGTATGAGTTGGACCTCTCTCCCTTCGGTGGCGTTTGCTACCCCTGCGTGGTCTTGGTGTGCACGGTGCGGTTGAATCAGACCTCCTTACGCCTGTAGTGTGCACTACCCCAGTCATGCACGGTCAAGCTACAAGTTACACTAGACTGGGTGGTTGCATGAAACCCTCTTCTTCCTATGGAGTGTGTACACTTGCATGGTCATGGTACCAAGCACATCATGCCCGGTTGGTGAATCTGGCCCTACACACGAGATCAGCAAGCCAAGTACAGAGCAAATAGAGCAAAAGGGTCAACAATACACACACGACCATGGCCAAGGTAGCAATGTAGCTAGGGCGATCAACATACCATATCAGCATGTCATTGCAGAGGGTGCAGAAACACTGCATGCACGAAGTACTCCGTAGCACCTTTATCCAAAATTCCAGCACCATAGATTCAGACGCGAAGAATTCCCGCAAACACTCTGCAAAGGCACTGTCGCCATAGCATAAGGCAGGACGGAGACAGGGGGCGCACTTCGGGCACATAGCTCTTAGTGCCGCCCCCCGGGGTCCACACCTTACCCAGGAAGAATTCTGCCCAGAAGAGTGTGCTAGGCCCCGGGGTCAGTACTTGCGTACAACGGGAGGAGGAAAGATTAATGCGACAGGGAAGCATGATGACATGTGCACCAAAGGACATCGCGAGGGTAGTGGACGCGACACAAGGATGATGAAGGTTTGACGCAACATTCGCACTGCCGACACAGAAGGGTAGTGAACGCCACAGGCAAAGGAGGAGTGGGGTTCAATGCAATCACCCAGCATGATGTTACCGGCGACGTGACCTGGCAGAAGTAGTGAATGCTACAGAGCGCGTAGGGAGGTTTGATGCGACCACCAGCAGATCCTATTCAAATCATGACCTTGCAATGGTAATGAGCACAGCCAGGGAGTCGGGAGGTTCGATTCAACCATCAAGCATGTTGTTACTCAGACCATGTCCATGCAAGGGTCGTGAACACCACAGATAAGGTAGGGAGGTTTCATGCAATCAGAAAGGATGCTGTTGGGCGCCACAACCACCACTCATTCACTCCCTCGAGTTATGATGCAAGCATTTATGGAACAGCATGCCGTGAGCATGCGGCGTAACAGGTGACAGAGCTTGAAGCGCTAAGTGGAAACGCGCCTCCCGGAAGCGAAGAATGGATCCAGGCAGGGTCAGCTCCTTGAAGCTTTCAACGAGTTTTCTGCTTTGCTTGATGCTGCAGTAGCTTCGCCTTTCGGGGCGATCACGCCACTTGCAGGCAGCGACGCAGTTGGCAGCTGCTCGTGAAGAACTTCGCCTCCTTGGCTTCTCGTCCAGCGTTTTGCAGCTAAGCACAGGTCGGGGATCATAGGAAACCAGCCCAACATAAAGTTGTTCAACATGAGCCCGAAACCAGCGCCTTGCGCTTCAACCTGAACTGGCTCCTGGCAGGTGAAAGGAAAACTATCTTTGAACAGATTTGCTCTGATACCGCGTTTGCTTCTTTGATGCTCAGGCGAGTACATCAATCCAGCACAGACAGCAGGGGATGCGGTGACTTAGTCTAGTGGGCCAGTGGGTCAATGATCCATTGTGTAGACAATCTGGTGCTTGTACAAAGAAAGCGCCCGCCAGACTTCGCGTCTGGGTGGGCATTGATTTTCAGGCTGGATGCTGTGCCTGGCAAAACCTGACCTCTCGGCTTCAGTTGAATGCTAATGAGCCCATGACGAACTCAGCCTCATTGCGTTTGAAAACGCGAAGCGCTGCTTGCCTCGTGTTCATCCGAAGTCTGTACCTCACGGCCCCCGGATTCTAGACTGAAAAGGAGCTACTGGCTGAGCTACCTGCCGGAGAGTTTACCCTGCACGGTTTGCATGGTCTGCATCGCTTAAGACTTGGCCACCAACAGTTATTTGCATATCTTCGCGATATCCGTGCGTGCAAAGCCAGATTCGACAACGCGGAAGTTCGCAGAGGCGCTGTTGCCTCAGCAAAGAGAGTTGTGTCGGAGCAGTGCTTGGCTTGCCCTTTACTTCTGCCAGTGCTGGTGACGGTGCTGCGGTAGCCCCCTGCAGCGTGGCCTTTACCTTCACAAGGTCTTCATCCGCCGGCACCGTGGAGGAAGCTCTTCTGACAAGAAGGCCCTGCCTGCCTAGGCATCGTTTCCAGGAGCCTGCGCAGCCGTAGATTCAAGGATGCAGACTTTCGAGACGTTCGCCTAGCAACCCAACTGACAACAAGCAATGTTCACCGGGCTCCAACCTAGCGATACACCCTGGCTGTCTAGGTCTAGAATAGTATGAGAAACAGTTTGTAACCGGCCAGGGACGTCAGCCCCAGCAAGGCGCGAGCAGCCAGCGGAGTCCCCAGATGTTTGGTGAATCTGGTTTGGATGTTGAGAAGGCCTCCTGTGGGCTTCCTCTGTTGAGTCCAGGCTTCCAACAACTTTGATCAGGAAGTCTTGTCCCGCCAAGGCGTCACTCACATTCCCCGCCGGCTGTACAGCAAGTAGCGCCTGGGTAGGAAAAGGTCGCAGACTGTCCATTAGTTGGCTGACTCTATTGAGCCTTTGCTGCTCACAACTGTGGAAGGAGCACAGGTGTTAGCCACTGACCGGTAGTATTGTTGATGGGGATGTTTGAAGTTCGCCAGTACACGGTATGATTGTGCAATGGTACTTTATCAGAACAATCTACTGTTGCAGGGTTCAGCCACGAAAGCAATACTGCTCACATGTGGTACAGTATCAATCCAGCAACAGGTTGACAGCAGATCGGCAGCAAATTGCAAGCACGTCTCAACGCAAACATTGGCATTTGTCGCGGCTTTCGCGCTGCAAAGAAATTCAGCATCCAATTCAGCTTTCCTGCTGGCTTCTGCATGCTTCCGCTGTGCCACAGCCCATGCCTGGTCTATGCTGATAAGAACCCCACGTCATGAGGGTTCGGATTAGTTTCTTGTGCGCAATCAATCAGACGAGATTATAGGTGCAGTTGTGAGCTAGGGGAGTGGACGGTATGAAGTGTTTGTCAGAGCCATTTGCTACCCCAGGCCTACTAATATTTGCAGGATCAACTATCGAGATAAATCGGCACTTTGCTCAGGCTACAAGAATCAGCAAGTAATTGGTTCTAAGCTCAGAAGGTGCTCGTCCCGAAAATCTGACGGTGATGTTGTGCTTGCTTCTGGATGGGCTGGCTACGTCGGCGTCATAGGTTAGTGAAAAGTGTAGGCATGCAGCCAGACTGCCGAAGGTGTAGAGCCATAGTCAAAGCAGCAGTTCTCCAAATCCGGCGGCATGATGCGCACAACTCCAACTTTCGATTGCCTCTATGCTTCACAGTCTGGCTCTATGGCGGTTCTACCGCAAACCATCGGAGACCCTGAACCCCTCAACCCTAATGCCTCAACCCATTCGACCTAAGGCCTAATGCAATCCGGGCGCTTCATGCCAGAGTCTGAAAAAGCGTTGGCGCATCACGTCACAGCTGCTTGCACTGCAACAGCTGGCCCGGCCTGTGCGGCGATCATGCCGGCAGCAACGTCAAGCTTTCCTGATCATGCTCTGGCAGGATAGCCAAGGTAGCAGCACCCGTGATTCTTCAGTGAGATTCCTCCATCAGGTCCTATACAATTTAAGCGCGGCAGCGGAGACAGAAGTGACTACCATTACTACCACTCCAGCCACGTCGCCCCATTCCTAGTAGCCGCGTCCAGCAAGCATTCCAGGATCACAAGAAAATCAACGCATCGGAAATATCGCCATGGGCAAAGACCGGCGCAAGTCGAGGAGTCGAAGCCGGAGAAGGCTGCTGGTCTCTTCGCATTTGATCGCCATGCTGTCACGTGGACTCACCTGGGACAGGAACGATGATGAGGAGGCGGCTGCTGGTTGTTACTTCCTAATAATGAAAATCTTGAAGATGCAGGCCGATGACCTATCTCCGGAGTCAAAGTTGCAACTGCTCGAGGCCTTTCTCGTCCTGAGCCTTTACTTTGTACACCAATGGGGCGCAAGCAAAGGTTGAGAACGCGACGCTGAAGGTCTGCGGGCCAAAAAACGTGTGCGCATCGAAGCTTTGGAGCAGTGAGCAATGCTCAGATTTTATGACCAGGCAGAAAACCGGGAGCTACGGAAGAAGCTTGTTGAAGCCTTGCGGCAAGGCCGTGCCCAGCGAGAACTCAGCAGTCTTGTTTTGGCGCTTTGACCTACTGTAGCACCTGCAGTCGATGAACAATCTGGAGCTTACGGAGACCGAATGAAATTAATCTTGTTGGTATGTCATGGATTGCTGTTTGGCAAATATAACATGCAGCACGGTGTGCGAGAAACTCTTGAATGGAGCTAGTCCTTGTAGAAGCTAGTTTTGTTGTTGTGCTTTCCCTCTGGCAATTCTCGCATAGTCTCGACTTGTAAGCCGCAGAAGAAGTTCTCAATGATGCCTTCAGGTAAGGCCCAGAACTGGCGAGTTAAGTCCAGCATCATTTCCAGCACAGCGTCCCCAAGCAGATATACGGTGTTCGACACTGCATGTGCAAACGTGCAGAAGCTTTTCTCACTGGCTAGGTGTCGCAGGGAGAAGTGATCATACGGACTTGTGAGGGTCGGGGCAGTTCTTTTGTTGATCAATTTTTGGCATCGCCGGGCAGAGCGGAAGCCAAAGTGTTTCATGAAGACCTTGCAAGCCGTGGCCAACTGACTTGTGGCAGGTGGAAATGGCCATGCTGGCACGTTTTACTGCGGCTTTTGCAAGTGAGATTTCTGAGTTACTGTTCTGGTTTGAAGAGGCTGCCCTTCTAAGAATAGGGAACTTGAAGCTGCTGCTGCTTGCTCGCTCAGCGCTGATCACCCACAGGCGCGCGCAGCAAGCCAGAGAGGCACAAGGAAGAGGTGCACAAGGCAAGCAGCAGTTGTGAGTCCTACGTTTGTGTGGTACCGCTTTGCAAAGAACTTGGTCAGGAAGAGCGACAAGGAAGAAGAGAGGCACTTGGCCTCATATTGGGGAGCAAAGTGTGGTGCTTCATCCCCTAACTAACGAGCCGGCAAGCTGGTTGGTAATCACTTTCTACAGAGGATTGGGGACACATTATTCTGGCAGGATCTTAGAGCTTCACCCGAGAAGCAGGGATGTTGTTGTAGCATTGCATATTGCTTTCCGAAAGGAGGAGCCGGTAGCTGCGTCTGACACCAATGCTGTTCTCCTTGTCAATGCGCAGATGGAAGCTTACAATGAGGCAGGGTGGTGGGCTATGCCAAACGGTCACTGCTCAGTTCAATCACAGATTCTGCTTCAGAGATGCAGCTGCCTGCCAGCCCATCCCCAACAACATTCCGCCTGAGAAGCGGCTGCCTCTGGTGTGGGCGCCCTACACGGGGACTGTGGCGATCAAATTATTGCTGCAGGCCTTAAGGCAAAAGTTTAAGCTTTAATCATTCGCAGTCAGTATCTTCTGACCTACAGAACCCGAAGTGATCAAACCATCCAATCTGAGCGCCCGAATGAAGTGCCCTAGAGCTGTGGAGAGCCGTGAGCTTTACACTTTACTGCAATGCAAACAAGTAGCGGGAACGAGTTGGAGAGGCCGATGCCAAGAAGCTTGCAAATTCCTCCAAAGATTCATCCTGGAGCAAATCACTTGGCAGATTGTTTTTTGAGTTGAGAGTTTGCAGCTTGTTGGTGCCTTACCACGTCTCTTATCAATCTCTTTGCGGTCCGGGGAGTTCCACATTAGTGGCAAGATGTGGCAAGATTGGGCTACCGTAGCCCGATATTCATGATTCAGCAGTTCATGTTGTGGCAAGCACACAAACTTCAAACTGGCAAGCAGGCTTGTTGGCAACTGCTCATGAGAACCTCCGCAAGACCGACGGATTGAGATATCAAGCAGTAACCCTGCCGGAGCAAATTTGAAAAACCAGAGGCTGTCAGAGTGAAGTAGCGCGAACGTGTCATAGAAGTTGGCCTGTTGGCCTTGCAACGTGACTTCATAGTGCTGCGCATTGAGCCAGTAATTGCTTCTGTAGCTGCTACCAGCTGGCGAATGCTTGGCATCTTGCTGGTAACCAATTTGCTTTTCCGCAGCGGACGCAAGCAGCGCAAAGCTGCAAGTTCACTTGTTGGTAGCGTTGATAAAGACTGTTTGGAATGCCTCTTCTTTCCGATTAAGGGTGCGAAAAGTTTGATAAGAGAAATCAAGGCAACGAGATATGCCAAGTCCATAGGCTTCTGAATGCAAGTATAACGAGTCTAGATCAACTGAGTTTCCTTTGCATGATGTCCAGTTGGCGTGCTCAGCGAGAAGCGGTTCACTGGTTTGTACACGTCTGTTTGAGAGCATTGTGGAGAAGATAAAGCAGACCATCATCTCAAGGCTCATGGGCGGCCGAGTTTTGTATCACACAAAGCTTCACATGTGATCTTCTCAGGGAGAACAAGTTGAAGAGATTCATGGCCCAGTTCGACGACAAGGTCAGCTGAGCTTTGCAGCAGCCTTGACTCAGAGTCTAAGGCAGCTAATGGTCAGGTACAAATTCTTGACCTCAAATCGGGACAAACGATCATTAAGGACCTAGACTTGGAGCTGGCCACATGGTGACATGGTGAAGGCAGTTTGAAATGATCTTCCGCAGGATCGGAACCTCTTCATCAAGCGTTACACCTGCGTCTTCCGTGAGCCGCTGGTCTTTGAGTGATGTGTAGTTTGCCAAGCCGAGCTGTGAGGATCCTTCAGCTTGTGGAGGCTTCATAAAGCGCACTTCTCCTCTTCCACTGTGGCCTTTGACTCCAGGTCGGGCTCCAAACTTCAGGGGCATCAAGCTCAGTCGGGCTGGCGGTGGGGCTCTGGGCTGGCACCAAATCAGGTCCCTGGCACTTGCTCACATCGCAGCATGAAGCGGAGTGCAAAGGTCATGCCTGAAGCGATTCTACTTCGATTCTTCAGGCAAGAGATTCGCTGTGCGCGGTTTTCGCTTCATTTTGTCAAGAGCTGGCTCTTGATAGCGGATGCAGGCCCAACCTACTGCATTGACTATGAGATGCATGAGAGCTTAGTGACTGCGATGCCCGGCACACCTCCGGCTGAAGCCTCGGTTTAGCTAGGTCCCTCCGTCCTAGATCGATTACCCCAGTTCGCCCAGCAGTTGGTCATGTCACAACAAGTCAGGAAGGTGTACGTACAAGTGTTTCCATGCGTACTGTAATTAGCAAGATGCTGTGCGACTGTTGTCGGCACTTGTCGGCGGAGCCTTTTACATGAACGCTTATCCCTCATCCATTTCTTGCTCCGATGCATGGCTTTGGGATCAGCCACTCTAGAGACGTCGCTTGGAGCCTGCAGTGTGGCGGGCGGATGTTATCTGAAGCCCCCGAATACCAGGTCTACTCATCAGAACCTAACCGCACCGTGCACTTCCGTAGCATTTCAGAAGTCAAGGCTTTTGTTTCTTTCGTAACCTTGCTGGAAAGCTCCGCCTGGAGCCATCAAAGACACCTGCCCCACACTGTGAACTATGACCGGCACCTTCCGCATCTTCATGAGGATGGGAAGCTGGGCGTCCGTGATCCACGAACAGAGCACCTTATCGCAAGCAGCCCAGTCTTTCCCAGTTCAAGCAACAATTTCGTGTGCTACATGGGAAGCGATGGATGATGCTAGCGCAAGTACTTGTGTCATTTATCGCGCTCACATAGGTGGTGTTTCGCTCTTGACGAATTTTTGTTCTGACGTGAGATAGGTTTGTGCTTCAGCTCGCCCAGAGCGCTTTCCTAGAATCAGCTGCGGCTGCAGTGTGCAACACTAGTCTTTAATTCGCAAGGTTCGTTGGGAGAGTGTTGTTTGGATTGTCCTGGAGCGCCGCTTGCGACGGGTAGATTCTCAGAACTACTGGTAGCAGATTTCAGGGAAGCAAAGCAGCGAGCAAATTGAGACCTTAAGAGATCTTGAGAGCGAGTTTCAAGATGACTTGGACGACCTCTCCTGGACTCAACAAGATGCGCGATGAAACAGCTCCGAGGACATTTCTACGTAGCCAGCGGGAAACATAGCAGAGTTCAAGCTTGAGTCACGGCAATTCCTCTGCCTGCCGAAATTTAGAGCCCACGCGGAAGCTTGACTTTAAAGACACGTTCCTTTTTGACTTTGACGCTCGCATCTGCCGTTCCAAAGTCCGAGGTGTTGTATGAAGAGAAGGGCGGGAAGCTCACACGCATGTGGCTGAGGCCGTAGCAACAGCAGGTAAAGGTAAGGGGAGCCGGTCGTGATAGCAATTGGCCTGAAGGGATCTGACGGGTCTCCCGTCATGTTTGTTGCTGCACAGCCGCGTGCCGCCGTAGGTGATTGATGTGGAAGCTTTTTGCTTTTACTGGGCAATGCATCCTGCACAGGCCTGACAGCGAAAAGTTGGGCAGCGACACATATGCTGGAGAGGAAAGCTGAGCTGAAAACCCGACTTGAACCCAAATTGTTGGCTGTCAAATTCACGTGATTCGCTCTCTCCCGTCTTTTGGAGGCATGTTCAGAGGAAGGATTTTGCATGCCCCACCCCTTCATCGCAAGGACATCCTAGCAGCCAGTGAAGCATACAAGCAGTTTGAGGCATTGAGCTCAGGCAGCTCATGTGACATCATGTGACGCGGATATCAGCGGGCTTTGATCTAGGCGAAGCTGAAGGAAGTCACGGGTGGCAAATTGGGAGAGATTGGCCGGCATGTCTTCCTCTGCCATGTGCATACACATGGCGACCCTGATGCTCTAAGCTTGCCAGGCGCATCTTCCACAACTACCATGACATCCCTAGCGTCGGCTGATTGCTAGGCTTTGATTAGAATCCAGCACCTGTCCCGGTTTACTGCTGGCCAGCGTTCTTCGCTGCAAAAACGGGATTTAAGCAGGTTCAGCATCAGGATAGCACCTGGACACCTGAGAAAAATTGGTATGCCACTTACGGGGAGCTTATGCCAGACATGCCGGTTCCGAGCACTGAAGACTTGAAGCTGCGCCTTGGCTCAGGAGTCAGGATTCCCTAGCGATTAGGTCTCTGAGATTCTATGACCCGTATTTCAGCATCCCCTTCCGCATGACTTGACCTGGCGGCTATCCAGACAAGCTAACGTACTCTTCATACCACACCACTTCACTTAGCATATTCCTTGACTAGAATTGAATCATTGAAGCGTGCGGCTGCCATCAAGTTCACATCTGCGGCTTTGCTCTCAGTTGCTGAGTGGCTGTTCCTGGTATGAGTTCACAGCACCATATTGGAAGAGGGTTTTGCATATGATGCCCGATGCTGTTACTCGAAGATACAGCCTGGCAGGCCATGGCGTCGTTCATGTTCGCAACCTTTTTGAGCAACATGAAGCCGGCTTATGAGGCGCCAGGATGCCGTGGGCTGTGTTATGAGCAGAGCGTAGCAGAGCGAGAATGCAACACAATCACGGTGCCTGGCAGAGCCGCGTCGACACGGTCTTTGAGGGCGCCACCGACATGTTGCTAGGATGCTTCTTGCGCTCGTTGCAGCCGCAAGCATTTATGCTTTGCCAGGTCCTAAGCTCAAACAAGTTTGGGTGGACATTGAACACAAGTGCTGGGAGACGTCCCTTGCCCCTTGCGGAGCAGCTTTCTGTACGGCGAAGAGCTGCCTTGCAGCTAATCAGTGGCAGGTCAGAGAAATCCTTCGTGAAACCAAGATTACTCAGGCCACGCGAGGCCATTGAGCGCGCAGTCCCTGAAGACCCTTCTTCACCCTTATGCCTCATCGGTCACTCAGGGCAATTTGTAGAGTTGACCCTGCAACATGCAATGGTAAAGTTTGCCAAGCAAGTGCAGCAATAGGGCCACTGAGCAGAAGAGAGCAGCATGCAACAGGACATCAACAGCAGCTTCAAAGAACAAACAAGCACAGAAAGCGGGACACGCAGAGAACAACCCACCTGTATCTGCAACCGGTGCAGCCAGACAGATCCGTCTATGTAGAGAAGTCTTGAAGCAAGCTGAGGCTAGACGGCATGCGAAAGATTTGAAAAGTTCGCGTCAATGGGAAATTTGGCCACAAACATGTAAAACAGCCAGGCAGTGAGTTGAAGCAAAAACTGACGCGCTGTCAAATGATGCAACCACAATGCAAAAATGCGTTCTGGTATGTTCTTACTCCGCTTCCTTGGCTCTGTGGACATTCTGGGCTAGCAATTGCATTGAAAGCACGCCATGCAATGGAACAGGTACCTAGATGAGGCTGATGACGACTTCAAAGGAGCTTGGAACTCACCTGGACATCATGTTATATCATCTTTGCATGTCTAATCCACATGCTCACATGCTTCTGCACAAGTACATTGGAAAAGTTTGCAGTCTTGCTTATATCCGAAGTGGAGGTGCATCCGTACTTGAAGTTGAAGAAGGAGGCCTCAGATAGATTGCAAAGACCTTGATGGTTCACGCAACGGATATACAGTACATCCAGGTCTTCCTTGGGCCGTAAATCCTAGGACATTGCTGTTTGTGAGTGAGCACAGCCCGGCTCATGCCAGTGCGTTCTAGGCTGCGAGTAGATGCGAGCCTTGAATCAAACTAGCCGATGCAAGACTTGCAACGCCTTGTGCATTCTAAAGCAACAGCTCGAATGCCATTGACCAAGCTTTTCTTGTGCTGACATGCTTGCGCAAAATTTTTCAGGGCAGATCACGCATCCAAGACCAGCGTCACTCAGACATGATGAAACGGACGAAACAGACTCAAACAGTTCGTTAGAGGAACCTCGGAACTTCTGTAGCCGTAGCTCTAGCTCGGCTCTTGCTAGCAGGTCAGCCAGTGCAAGGCTGTCATCAAGGAAGACACGCGACGAGAAGCCCATGCCCGGGAGTGTCAGCAAATATCAAGTTTTGAGGGCTCAGCTTTATTTCTATTGCCAGACGTGAGCAGCCTTGCTTCATTCAGGATGGCCTGTTCTTCTGTACGCATCTGCGCTTTAACAGCTCTTGATAGGTATTGAAAGGTTTTCCCGAAAACGTAGTATTGGGTCTGCATGGCCAGAATTTAACGCTACCGTACAATGTGCGCACAAGCATAAGCAAATGACCTCAAGGCTGCATGATGCTGCATGTGAATGCCGAGTTTCTCAACTTTGACCTCAGGTTCTACAGGACTGCACACAGAGAATCGTCGATCTGGCAAAAGAGTGCAGCGCCGGAAGGCTTGCCGCTCAGTCGTCATTTAGCAGTCCTTGAAGCTGTGATACAGGCTCACAGGTGTTTTGCTGCTGCATGCTGCCTCGCTTGCCTGACTTGAAGTGTTTTCCCCACTCCTGCTCGGGAGCAAAATACTGGAACCGTCTCGGCTTCAATGATGTCTTTCAAGTTGATGCTGCATTAGGGGGCATGCAGGACGATGAGCGTGGAGCTTGCAATGTATCGCGCCCGTTCAGCTTCCTCAATGTTCCCACCGCGTTCTAGCGGGTTTCCGCCATTTCAGGCACTCTCCAGACCCCGATGGCATAGTCGGCAGGGAAGCAACAAGCAAACCAAAAAGGGGGTGCGCTTGGCGAGTCTGCCGCTTCAAACTGGATGCGCTGCAGCATGGACTGCAGCACCACCTCAGACCAGAGTGCCGGTGGGCTGGACCTGGAACCTGATGTGTTCCAAATGCCTGTTGGCCAAGACAGATGCGTTTCGCGTAATCCTGGCATATCCTGGCATTGCTGTCCATTTTGAGGCAGAAGTTAGAGAAGCGCAGCAAGCTGGATTTGTACCTTGAACCTTCTGTCCGTCTGAATAGGGTCGGGCAGTGTGGTTTTTATACATGGGCATACAAGAGGATATTATTGCCTCACAAAAAAGGTTGCTCGTATTGCCCTTCACCTTCATAAGTGGTATATTGCTTTTGGGCTGCAGTAGCTGATGGTCCTGCGTGGTTGTGCAGCTGATAGCGCGTTTACCCTTCAGGACAAGATTGGGTGCGGCCGCGCAAAGCCGCAGACTAAGCGATTTAGCTCACACACGCCCCCGTCCATGATCCATGACCTCGACTTCAAATGCCTTGCTGCTAGAGGTCCTGCGCAATCCAGAGAGTGATTTAACAGTCCGGGAGCCGTGCTGCTAAGACTTCATGAGCGCGTGTTGTGCTCTCTTGACAACATACACGCCCGTTTCGGAGAAAGCTTGAAGCAGACATGTTGGAATGCCAACTAGCTTGAAACATGCAAAGATACATAAAGATACCCACTGTTCGCTGAACCGTTGAAGTTTGGTAACCTCACTCCAAGCATACGGCTTCCCTGGCAGGAAGCTTCTGTTTCACAAACTAGCAAGAGGGCGCCGCTCTTGTAAAAGATGCGCTTCGTCGCCAGTAGCCAGCGATAGCTGCAACATACTGCTGCAACTTTGCTATTAGAGATTGCATTGTGCTGCATTGCATGGATTTGTTTTTCACTGTGCAAGAGGGAACTCTGCCTGCCAGCTGCCTCAAGAGGATAGAGCTGGAGTCTTCGCGGCAAGGGCAATCATATGCATCGTCAAATTTGGGTAGCATTATCTGTGAAACTGTGCGGATGGCTTTCTCCCAGCTGGATGCAAGCTCCTGAACTTGCTCAAGGTTTGGCGCTTTCGTGAAAGGGTCTGGTCACAGAGTGCTGCAGACTACGCATTGAAGGTCCAGACCAACGCCCTCTCCTAGTACAGGGCTTATGTCGTATATGGTAGGTGGGGCAACATTGTGCTGCCGCGCACACCCTCTGGCTCCAGGTGACTATAGTCAGCTTGGACTACTACCTCGCAAAGTGCGCGAGCAGCCGTGCGAGAAGATGTCTTCTTTCACTTCCCTTCTGCGTTCAGGCCAGGGCCAGGCGACCAAGCCCGAGCACCCGGCACAGGCTTTCGTTTCGCTTTGCGTTTGCTCGCTTTGTGATTGCTGCAGTGCCAGGCAAAGCACTGAGAGAGGTCCCAGCACTGCTCTCATGCTTTCCCGCATTGCCATCAAGCTGTGCCTGCCAGACTTGCTGAGGTCATCCGTGTTTTTGGCCATACCGACACTGGACAGACTGCGTGCAACTTGTCTGCGTAATCCCATCCTTACAGCCAGGCTGTTGCTGTGCAGTTGACCTTGGCACGCTTCTGGTTTGTGTACACACTTGCTGCAGCTCCACGCTGAGTTGGCATGAAGTGGGCACCAAGTGGTGTGGGAGCCACGTGGCCCCCATCAATTCGGCCGGCATGCACACAGAGCTGTAGGAGTACCAGGATGCTGGCCGCCCTGGACCATGCTGGACCCACAAAGCCCGAAGTTTTGGCGACAGCCCCCATGGTTATTGTTTACAATTCTGTTCTCACTACCTGACTTTTCGCAACGTGGCCTCTGAAGACCTTAGCATGGGCCCTCGGTACTTTTACTGACTATTAGGTTTGCCAGGATAACTGTGGTGGTGCTTACCGTGCTACTTGACTTGGGCAATTTCTTATTATTGTGGCCTTGTGTTAAGTAGTGCATGGTACTGTAGCTTACTATGCTTAGCGTTGCCTCTTTGTCGCCTTTCGCTGTTACTTGTGCCCATGATGCAAGCCGAACATTCAAAAGTGCTCAGCGAATCCGCGCAAGCTTGGCGCAAGCTGGGGGCAAGCGAGCGTAACTGTTGGAAGCGGACTGGCCCAGAGCGGCTCTCCGAACATCTTTAAGAGCGATGTCCAACAAGTGGCTTGTTGCTGGCTGTTCATGCTTCACAATATGGCAGTTTCCCTAAACAGGGGGAGCCCAATATAGACCGCAAACTATTGGAATCTTACCTGTAGGGACCCCCCCCAAAATTGCCCCTGAACCC